AAATGACTCAGAGCACCAGTGAAAATGATGCTATTTTGCATTCTTTTCAAATTACACTATTAGCATAACAATTTAAGTGAAAAGTAAAATAACTAAAATATGTACATGGATTTCTTAGTATTTGGAGTTTCAGATTTTCTCTTTAATGATAATGCACTCGAGCTGGACGCCACAAACCTCTGATTAGCAGATAAAATCCACTTCCGTGTTGTCTAAACACAAGCTTCTTTGGAAGAGATAAGACTCAAAAACAATTTTTGTACAAAGGCCTCAACATAATTAATGTCACAAACTTGTTTAAATAGTGGAAACTGCTGATTATCAATAATTGAACAAGATTTTTTTCAACTGGTGGTAAATGAGTTTTACCGTAACTGGGGGCTGATACCGCGATAACTTTGTTGACCATTAGCAGATGGAGGCCTACAGTCTTATGCAAAACTTTGAATATCGCTGGTCAAATTCTATGTTTTGCTGATTTTCTAAGTGAAAATAGGTTAGCACATCCTCTACACACAGAAAAAATGTTGCTTTGAATTGACTTGATTCACTCTACATGGATGAAATGTTTTAGTTTTGATTTACTGGAGTTTAACGTGCTGAAAAAAAAATATACAATATAAAACGTGCCATAACTTCTGCACAAGCCACACTTTAGTTCCCCCTCCAAATCTGTTACATTCAGCAAATAAATAGTGATTATGCATTAAAACATGTGTTCTCTGTCAGTCAAGTGTGTCTCAAGTGTGTTCTCTGTAAAGGATCTGTACTCATTTTAACTGACCTTTTGCATTTGATCGTATCTCTAATGTTGTAGACGACTAAAACTGTCTTGATAAATGCTTACGAAGAGGTTTAGCCTTGTGGAAACTGTTACTTGACGAAAAAGTATGAAAATTTTATCATCACCCTCTTCAGCAAATATGGTCAAAGACCTTTGGGCCTTTGGAACACTATTACTCAGAAAGCTATAAACACACCAATGGTCCTAGCAGATGTAACAGAACACACAGACTGTCCACAGACGGTGAAATATGTGGCGGGCCGGCGCTCGGAGCAGACTCCACGTGCTCACTTCCTGGTAGGAGGAGACTGTAAGCAGCGCTGTCAAATCAAACCCGGTCCACACACACACACAAGCAAGAACACACAGGATGGATGCTGTCAGCCGCTAGAAATAGATCGAGCCCAGTAATCTCGCTATTACAGCCTTGTTCTTGCTCTGCTTGTGACGTCACCGGTGCACTTGAAAAGGCTAACCGCTAACAGACCAAAACGAATGGTAATGGTCTCCAGAGAGAATAAAACACCTGATTAAATAACAGCGTAATAACTGAACACAGTGACTTGTTATTAAGCCATATATGGTAGTAACAAACATGTACTGACATTCAGTAAGAAGGTATATTGTGATATCCATCCAACACACAAAACATTGTTATCGTGGAAACTTTGAAGTTTCACCAAATGACATCATTAACAGTAAGACTGTTAAAAACCAGGGGCAAAAGTTACGAAAGCTTTCCTGAGAAAAAACTGCGAAGGATTTAAAGATGTTTGTTAAACAGCAACTTTCAGAACTCTACATGTATGTTCGTCTTTTACATGCAGCATTTTAGAAAATACAATTTGTGATAATATTGAAAGGCATGATAAAAGGTCAGGTAGACATTACATTTTTACATTGGCTCTAGTTAATACTACAGTAATCTACAGATAACCTTGACTATTAACCAACAAATCAGAGTTTTTAAAAAAGAATAAAACATAAATGTACTTCTCTGAACAACAACGATCCAAATATGAACCACTTGAACACTTTACTGGAATACAAGATAAACTATGAAACCTTTAAAAAAGATAAATTTGCAAAAAATGTAATATATAGGAAAATTTTAAAATATGCATTGTTACCATTCGTCATGCAGTGAGTCACTGCTTATCCGTATAGAAGGTATATTTTAGTAATTTGTTTTTTCAACAAGTAATTAAGCTTAGTGATGCAATCAAGTCAAGTAATTAACTGACATACAGAGATGCGAATGCTGTATTGCCCAATGCCGGTCACCACGCAACTGCCAAGAGGGGTATAAAGCACCCCAGCACTGGTTTGTGGAGCAATGGAAATGCATTGTGTGATGGAGTGATAGAGCTCCATCTAATATCTTTGAGGTGATTTGTGATACAAAACTCTTGTGGCTGAATGCAATCAAATCCTCACAGCAATGTTCCAACATCTAGTGTAAAGCCTTTCCAGAGGAGCAGAGGCTGTTACTGTAGCAAAAGGGAACAAACTCCCTATGATTTCAGAATAAACACTGGATATTATCTACAACCTTTAGAACACACAGCATGAATTGGTATAAGACTCTATAATAGTATTAATATTAGTAAATATACACAATGTTTCTATATGATTCCAAGACTACACATGACATGTGCACTATTATACTGACTATAACTATAAAAAATAGACATGGTTGCCCTCTTCTGGTCAAACCAAATCAACACATCAACCTGCACAAACTAACAGGCTAAAAGAAAGCACACTGCTGTTTTGTTCCACAGTAATAACAGTGGGCTGATGATACTTTCCAATCTCTGAACACCTTCAGAGACCAGCTTGTTCCATCAACAACAAATCAAGAAATTTTACTGCTTTTGAAGCTGTGCCAGGGCAGAATTCCCCAATCATGAAACGTAAAACCACATCGCACAGCAACCAAAGGCAGCTTTGATGCCCCCGCAAGTCTTTCAAAGCATTCAAACGCTCATTAGTAATTAATAAGTGCTCCTTGTAACATTGTGGTTTGACTTTTCTTCACTTTATTGTTTATGCAGCTTCCTCTGCACTCTGAACACTGGGGAAGGGGAAGTTCCCGCTCTCTCACTCTCTAATTCAATTCAAGTTACAGCACTGCAAAACAGTTTATAACAGCATATAAAGCAGTTAAAGGTGCTCAAGCAGTTAATGATGTAACTGTAATGATGATTCTACTAAAATCAATGCCAACATAAGATCTTACTATACAATTTATGTCTCTACATGGATCTACATCTATCTTTCAGTCTACAGTGGAGCGCTACACACCATATACAACAATAAACTGTAATTGCTGTAAGAAGCATATATACAATATATGATCAAAAGTCAGACTTCTAATTAGTAAAGTGAGCTACCTTCAGCTTCGCCCACTGCTGACACAGCTGTTCGATCACACACATACAGCTTGACCAATAGAATGGCCCTAAAGCAGCCACACAGGAGCCTAAGGTCACCACGCCCAATGCCAAGCGCCAGCTAGAGGGGTATATAGCTCCTCCAACACTGGGCTGTGGAGCAGTGGAACTCCTGGAGTGATGGTGCTCTGATACCTTTGGGATGTGTTGGAGTGATCCAGAACTGATCATCCAACATCAGTATCTCACCTCACTAACGCACTCGTGGCTGAATGCAATCAAATCCTCACAGCAAGAGATGTCTACAAACATTTGGACAGTCTGGCGTATAAATTGTCATAAAAGCTCTGGTGGGAAATGATAAGAAGAAGTGAAAATAAACTAAACAGAAGCTAAATATGTCCAACAACGCCCTACTGAAGCTGAATTAGTGAACTTGAAAAGCATCAGTGACTGAACTGTGGAGCGATTAAACTGCGGCAGTGCAGTGTACATTTTAGGATATCCTCAGGCCTCAGAGTCAGCTTTCAGACAGCGCCTCATCCCCACATGCAGAAGAGCAGGTCAAAGGATTTTGTTTACTTAAAATTTATGCGAAAGTTGAGTGTATATTTTACCAGACATTGTGTCCAACAAGATTTTAACAGTCATTTTACCAGTCTTGCAGTTTTATTAGTAAAGTATCGGTATTTATCCTGAGAAGTTTTATTAAAAAACGCAGTATAGACCATTTTCAAGCATTTTCTTTCATGATATATGTGGTTGGGAGAGCTTTACACATTCAAGAAGTATCCGCACTATATTGTGAATAACATGTTTTTCTTTTCAAAAACTCTTTATATCGAGAACCGTTACAAATTTTGGAACGAAAATCTTCATATATACATAAGGTGCTAGACAGTTTCTGAACCCTTCAGAATTCCTAACTTTCTACATAAATCTTTCTTGAAATGTGATTAGATCTTCATCTAAGTCACAGCAACAGACAAATAGAATCCAGTGAAACAAATAACACAAACAATTACATATTTTTTTATTCATTTACTGAACTAAGCGACCCACCATATATGTCTTTGTTGGAAAAAAGTATGTGGACTTCTAGAATCATCAGCTTGGGGCTGTTTTTGCTGCCATTAGACCAGGAGAGTTTGCCATCATTTGTTGGTACTATTCTGGACTGTATCAGGAAATTCCACTGGAGAATGTCAAGGCATCATCAGGACAGTGACTCTAAAAGCACCAGTCATTCTATCAAAGAATGGCTGAAGCCGATGTTTTTGAATGGCTGAGCCAAAGCCAAGATCTTAATGAAGTAGTAATGTTGAGTAGGATCTGATTCGTAGAGTTTTTTTGCAAGGAAGCCAATCAACATCGCTGAGGTGAAGCAGTTCTGTAAGGAGCAATGGGTCGAAATTTGTTTTCCAAATCAATGTAGCTGATCAACAGTTCCAGGAAATGTTTGGTGGAGGTCATTGCTGCTCAAGGGGGTCACACGAGATACTGAAAGCAGAGGTTTACACACTTGCCAAGAAACACATTTAATATTGGATCACTTTTTTCAATAAATTATTGAAAATTTATGCAATGCTTTGTCTTAATTCTTTTATTGAGTGCTCTTTTTCTAGTGTTATTGACCACATTTTAGGTCCCATTTATGCAGAAATTTAGAGAATCTGAAAAAAACGTTTACAAACTTTCTAGCACCACTGTATATATTCACATAACACTATAACAGAGTATCAAATGCGGGTCAGTCCAGTCTAACGTCTCAAAAATAACTGTGACATACTGACTATTTCTCAAAAATAACTGTGTCTTACCTTGCGGTTGCCGGCCATCTTGCCCAAGAAGCTGAGACTGCGTACCAGGGAGCGCAGGCTGCCGGACTTCTCCCCACTCTCCACCCTCTGAACCCCCTTACCCTCCGTCCTCTCCACACTCCCCCACAGCTCTCCACCCAGCTCTGCATCCACACTGAAGCGCAACACCACACACACACACATATTCACAGTCGGCCTATTAGAGAGCGCTGACTTAACATGGTCTGAATTTAATGTCTCTAATCTTACTGTGCTGAGAATAAAAGCTGATTCTTACCTCTGTGTGGATCCTCCAAATAGAGAGCTGAAGGATTCTGCTGGGGTAAAAAAAACGCAAAACACTCCAAATCAGTCCTGCGATTAAGTCCTTAAAACGCAGTGAACAACTTACAACCGCTTTTTGAAGTGTCCACTCTAAATCCGTGAAGCTTTAATTGATCCTGTTCCAGGTCCAAGCAGGTTTTTGTACATTTTACAATTAAAACATAACACAACAGAACCAAAAGAGCCCTTAGAATCTCCGTTAGAGAAGAGAAAGGAGAAAGAGAGGGATGTGAGAAATGACCACAGTGCATAGCTTCAGGGCGCTAATGACAGACTCAGCAGAACAAATACAGGAAGACCGCTTCCGCATAACTGCACATACACACACACATAAAACACACATATGCGCAAATCAAGATACTCGAACACACCGTCCCAAGACACTGCTCAAATCTACTGCCTAATGAAAACACAAGCTTCCTCGGTACAGACACACATATCTTCTGGAGAATGCATCAAAGAAGGAGATGGGAAGCTTTCCTTTGTGTGTTAGCCTCATTCTACACCGGGGGTGCCCAAACTTTTTGTGTTGGGGGGCCAAACTGCAATGTTTGTTGTGGGCTGAGGGCCAAAAAGGCAAAACAATATATAAATAAAGAAGTTTTTAAAAATATACTTCACATTATCTTTTGTTACTAAAAGGACAATACAGTATTTAATCGTTTATATACAGTATAGGTGGGGAAAATATAAATTCGTAGAGGCATCATGATTCTCAAATCTGAATTGAGTCACAAAACATCTTTACATTTTTATTTAGGCTCTGTTTTCCCTGAACTGAAAAAAATGTTCTTTGAATTTTCAATTACAATGTGGCAACTAGTTGCAAATTATCAACACAGTTCTTGCCAAAACAAGCAAATTTAAGTAAAGCAATTGTGTTGTGTTGATGTAATGTATTTTATTCATGTGCAACCACCTGACACATTTCAATCGTGAAGCATTTTCTTCAGCAGACTGCAAAACAAATATTTGTGGTCCTTGAGACATTAGATACCTTATCACAGGTCAGCTTGGAAGTGGATAGAAAATGCAGGATCTTATCTAATGTATGCATGTTTACAGTCAACTTCATGTATATGAAGTTAAATAAAATTGTGTATATGAAGTAAAAGGCCTGAAATCATAGTAAACTACATATCCTACTTAAAAACACAGCTTTGTTTCACAACCAGCTCAGGATACAGTAACTAGTTAACAGGCTAACCTAGTAAAACTTAGTTAGGCTTTAAGTAGAAAGGTTCACTGAAGGATTAACTGTAAGGTGAAAATGCAACATTATTTTTTTGATTTTTGTAAACTTTTGCAGACGACATTAACTCACTGACCAATCATGTTTGTCTGTGGAGCTGGCATGGCAGCAACCAAGCTGACAAACTGGCTGTGTTCCAACAACTGGAATGCTCAAACAGGGCTCAAACTGGACTATAAACATCTGAGTTAAACGTGCAAGCGCTCAACTTTCAGCTTCTGAATGAAGAGACAAAGCTCTTCACGCTGCCCTCACTTTTAAAGGCAATTTCTAAGAGTTAACTGAGCACAAAACAAAATATACTGCCTTCAAGCTCCTCCCACACATTTTGATGGGATTTGTTAGGATGAGCTATTTTTATTTATAACTCTAGTTAAGTTAAATCAATGCAAAAAAGATCTACGCAAACTGTTTCCTTCAATTTTTTTTAAGCAGGCATAAGGAACTTTTCATTATTTAGAGTATGAGGGTATGAGAGAAAAAGATAGAACAGTAGATCAAGCTTTAGCAGTATCTCTTAGAGAGTCACAGTGAGATGTTATTGGTCCGCTCTCAGAGCGTGCACTGTTGACTTTAGCACCGTGGCTGGTTTACCTTGGGCGTGAGAGTGCAGGCGGTGGTTGGCATGGGCTGGTTGGCATTTGCTGGATATGGTGCAAAGAGACGGCACAGATACACTGTAGCCCTGCGGCAGAGTGGACTGCTCCTACAATACACACAGCAGCATGCAAGCATGAGTGCACGCAGTATACACACGTACGGTACCACCCACTTACACACTCCAGCACACTCAGACAACAAACATGTGTATATACATACACGCACACCTTTAACACACTGGTATGATTAATCTTGTGGCTTTTGCTTTGATGGGAAGAGTTTGTGTGTTGAAAGGGTTGTCTGGGGGTCACACTTTGACCTGTCGAGTCCATTTCCACTACAGACATTCAATTCAATTCAGTTTAGTTCAGTTCAGTTCAGTTCAGCATTGCACAAGGCCAAGCATTTAATACTAAAGGGATGGTCCCTAAATCTTAAATCGAAAAAATCTCTTATACACATATAATGTTTGTGTGGTTTTATGTGCCAAAAACATTATTTTACATGACCATTTTCAAACCTCTCCCTTTGAATTAAACTGGCTGTTTTTGTTACCGTGCTTTTAAGACTGCTATATGTAAATTATAAAGATTATTTAATACAATTTGAATTTGTTGAAAAGTTACTATACGATAATAGTCACTATGTCAGTGTAACAGGCTGATACTACTTTCACTGGTGCAACATGCAAATTGAAATAAAATAAACTGATATAAATTGCTTGACACCATTGCAACAGCATGGTGGTCAGACCGTTCAGTCTAAAGAGTTCTTCAATAGTGGTCACACAATATGTGTGATTATCACAGCAGCTTCCTCTAATCTCTAACATTAATTGGGGTTGCACAATGTATTATTTGGTAATCATCTTCACAACACTGACCATGTGTAGTACTGATAATGCAAATGCAATTTTATTTTTTTTTTGTTATCTTGTGCTGGAAGCATCCTAACCAGATAAGCTTCTGTTTGTGTTATGATGAATAAAGGTATTCATGTAAACTAAAAATGTAAATTATTTGGTCAAAACAATGCGGGCTCATATTTAACCATATCACATTATTCATGAAGAACACATTGCAATCACAATATAATTGCATTTTGTGCAGCCTTAAAGGGGAATACCACCAATTTTTCCAATTTTCTCAGTAATTAAATTATTAAGATGTAAACAGTCATTCAGAGAGGTTTGGCGTGAAATGCTCCGTTCTAGAGAATCAGTGGTGGTGTGGGAACCAGACGTCTGAAGAGTTTAATGCCTCTAAAAGCTCCCTTACAAAAAGTTATTACACAAAATGGCTCATGGCTCAGAGGTTGTTGCAACGCAATACAGTCTCTTAAGAAAAAGGAACCATTTCAAATCAAACCACTCTGAATGACTGTTTACATCTCAATGAATGAATCATGCAGAAAATTTGAAAATTACTTTTTGACACACCGACTATGTCTCACCTCCTTGAAAGAGAAGATCTGGGAGTCAGAACCTGTTTCCTCCTCAGTGAGTGACAGCAGAGACTCCAAATCCTCACTATAGTGGGTAATGGGAGCCCGCCTTGGGTCCCGCCTCCCGAGACCCCCATACTGAACCTTCTCCATCTCCTGAGGGTCCAGAGCCTCAAGACTCACACTGAAAGAGGAGGAAAGATGAGTTTCACACTTTTTGAGTTTTAGTAAAGGAGGGTGATATGTCTAAAACATAAGATTCTCCCAATACATTATAAGTATCATGATATTTAGTTTTTCTGAGAATTGGAACAAATTGAAACAGATAAAATGCACCATCAAAAATGGCTACACAGACTATATGCAGATTTTTTTAAAATTCAATGTATGTGAAAGTATATTAAGAAGGAACAGGAGGAAAGAAATAGGGAAAAAAATTATTAAGATAAGATAAATGCTTAATGGGCCGATACCCTACCAGCTACTTCTTACTATGCAGTTTATGCAGTTACTACACACTAGGTGTTGCTGTTTACAGGCTCTTGAATTGGTCTAAATCTGTCTTTTTTATGACGCATGCAGTTCTTATATGCAGAAGTATTGATGATACTCATGATATACTCACAAAATCATGATGTAATTTATGAAAATAACGATTGCCATACTGCCGACCCTAACTTTCAATTTTGTCAAGTGAAAAGACAAAAGACTTTGACTGTATTTGCTCTTCAGACAGAAAACCCCAAGCAACCAAAAAAACAAACACACCACAGTCATGACTGCATCGACTGTTCAATCTCTCCTCCATCAGCTATCAACTTGCTCCTCCACTCCTAAGAAACTCTTCTAAACAGTACTTACATAGATACAATAATGGCCCTGATCCCACACTTTGCCCCTAAATAAAACCACTACACAAATTACAACTGCCAGCACCGCCAGTGCCACACAGACCACTGCAGATACCACAAAGTAGGCAAACACAAACAAAACCCCCAGTGCAGCGGCTGCTATAAGAGCAAATACAGCAATCACGACCCGTAAAAGGATGTTCTCCATTGTGCCCTAAAGCAACACTGCTGCTCTATCTTGGTCTGTGTGAGGCAGCACAAAGCTTGACCTCTGTTCAGGCTGACAATAGAGTTCAATGTGAGCTGGAACAAAGCAGCGAGAGAGGAGGCGGACAATGGGGACACAGAGCTCTCTCTCGTTTCTGCCCTGCCCTCTTTCAGTACCTCCTTCCAGGGAAAAAGGCAGGATATAAGTTTGCAGTAAATTAGAGGGGTAAATGTTCACTGACACAAAATTTGGGATCATTTCAAAAGAAGCGCTCCCTGACTGGAATATCCTTGGATTGGCACCAAATACTTAGATTTTTTTTAAAAAGTACAGGCACTCTAAATTATTGTTATATATATGATATCAAATGTCCAAGACTTTTTCATGGTAATGATTCAATACTCGCAAAACCTTTCATTCTTTCAGTCTATTTAAAGGGCCTACATCTTGATTCCTCTCTCTGTTTTTGAATTATGTACTATTTGAAGTAGTATGTAAACAACATTGTTAAAGTTTCAGAATATAAATTCACTCCCCAGTCCACACTGACCATATAGAGAAATATATAGAAACTGCAAAAAACAGGCCGTTTTGAATGAATTGTTTTTGGTGTTTGAACCCAATCAGCCTACAGAAGCTCAGCCCCACCAATTCATGCTGAAGTTATAAGGAGTGTTTCAATTGCTTTTTCAGTGAGGCACAACACAGGGCAGCCAATCAGAAATGATCAAGTAAAAAATGAATCGAATTTTTTAGTTGTATTCTTCACTCTATTAAGCTGGAACAATTTAAATGCTTTTCTGTGTTCAATCTACTGCTTTGATTTGCCAGAGCATCCGTACTTTCTAACAACTCAAGGGGGTGCTATTCAAACTGTAATGCATGCCAGGTGAGCAAAACTTACATAAAATGAAATAATCTCACAACAACAATTGCAGACTGTGAGGAAAACTGAATTAGAGAGGTTGCATTTTTACAACATGATCACAAAGAACTGAAAATAAAACTAAATACATGTGGTCACCTCGTTCATCATTAGCCTGATCTTGTTCAGAAACCAGCTAGTTAAAACAGCCTACACTGAATTATATGCTGGATTATGTGTGTGGATGGAGACTTAGAATAATTTCATGCGTAATAATTATGGGCGGCCCAAAATTTTATGTCAATATTTTGTGTATCACAGTACACGCAATATAGCTTGACTGTATAGAGACATCAGTGACTTCTATTACAATACTAGGCGCAGCACAAATTCTACAAAAAGACTTGATTTGTGAAACATGAGAGTGGCATTAACAGTAGCACCCACTACCTGCGCTGCTCATATTGTGGGTCAGCATTCAGCACTGCCCCGGGCTGCCAGCTGTGTCTGCGGTTACGAGAGGGCTGTCCAAGATGAAAGCCGGCGATGGACAGTCTCAGGCTCATCTTTCTCACTGGGGGAAATGGCGAGGGGTGGGGCGGGCGAGGGGATCGGGGGGAGGTGGGTGAGGCAGGCGGAGGCGCTGGACAGGGCACACAGTGAACCTGGGCCATAGTAGAGTCCAGGACACGGATACGACGAGGATGTGGGCTGCTGATCATCTGGAAAGAGAGAGAAAATCAAACATCGTTCAGCACCTTCAGCAGGTTCACACTTTCTTTCTCACTCTTATAACTTCACAGATACTGGTTTTAATATTACCTAATGAGTAATTCATAGTTACAGTATAATATGATTTAGGATTGATAACTTAATAACAAGCCTATAGTTTGAGGGATTACGCTACATTTGGAACATCACAAATGAATTACACAGATTTACAGCAACTCATCTGGAATTAAACAGATTTATTTTTTGTTTCCATTTAACTGAAGAATTCATGAATGCACTAAAAATATACATGTGCACAAATGTTTATTCACATAATTCAATAACTGACTTCTATTCTAAGTGTCTTTGGAGTATTTTTTTTCATTCTTCACACACACATCAAAATTATTGTCCACGTTAATTGACCATACACGATGGACTGAGGTAGACAGATATAAAATTTGCTCTGGCCATTTGGGCCACGGAGTCAAGGACTCTTCTAACTAACATTAAGCATTTGTGGCCCCAAACATGTTTGGAAACATGTTTATAGTGCACATGTTGTGCACATTCTTCAGTACCACAAACCAGTGGCGTGTTGCTTTGAAACAAAAATACATTTAAACTCTACATTAATAAGAACACAAGCATGCATCGTGACAATTTAGCAGTCTGGAGCAGCCTGGAGTTTCTCCACAAGGGGGAGCTATTAGCATGCAAGTTGCTTTTGTGTGCGTCATTTAAAGAGAGGAAAACAGTCATGAATCCACACCAGCACAATCTCATGAATGCATACGTTTGCAGGCACAGCTTTCAAAATGAGATGAAACTGTTTATGACCAAAAGTCGTTGAGCTAGTTGTAATATTTCATAGTTATAATCATGAAATCAGTTCATATCTAAAAAGCATGTAAGCTAAAGGTAGCACAGAAAGTGGGTCTACGCTACATTGGACTGTGTGTTTAACAAGAATATACTGCGGTAAGTTAATTTTTTTGGTGGATTAAATGAAAATTCAGCTGTGTTAAAATTTCATCATGACCAACAGAAATCACTTTAAACTATGTACGTTAACTTCCATTACAACTTATAAATGTTTATTCCTTCTCTCGTATCTTTGCTATTTTGGGGATACGAGGTTTTGTTCTGACAGTGATGATAGGCAGTTCTGTCTTGCAACACTAAAACAAATGGCTATTAGAATGTGTAGATTATTAAAAGTGTTATAGTGTACATACCATGTGCACCAACGCAGGTTCAGTCTCAGTGGACCTTACTGGATGGGTGAGTGTTGCTGCCCTCTAGTGACCAAGAGATCTTATACACATTTCAGGGAGCAGGTTCCTACAGGGCAGAAAACAGCCAAAGAGAGCGTTACACAAATATGGGCTATTATCATATTGTGTAAAATGTTATTCAGATTCTGAATGGATCAATAAGTGAAAATTGTAGTAGTCACAGTTTGTAATTACACGTTAGCCACTTCAGGAATGTATGGCTTATAGAACCAGTGTAGTCAGGCGGTAGACAAAGCCAACTGTGCTAACACCAAGAACGCCTTGAGGAAATGAGTAGATGCCAAATGGCATAATTAGATTGGCTATAGGCTTCTACATACTCAAAGACATACAACAAACATATTCCTAATAAATGTTACTAATTATAATCCAGTTCAGTTGTACTGCGCAAATTCTCCTCTCCTGGTAGCATGTTGGTATCTTCATTTGTTATATATCTGTTTCCTGTCTTTTAGTGTAGTTGACTTTATGCTCCACAGTGAAATAGTTATCTCTAGGATAGTTACTTATTTCTGCTTCCTGTTTATGTTGAAACCTGATAAATAACAGGTAAGTCAGGTGTGACCGGTCCCAGCACTACTACAGCAAAATAAAAGTAAAACGATTACACGACAACGATTCCACTGACTGAAACAAAGTGTCAACTGGAGGAAAAACAATAACTAGACTATCAAAAGGCTACAAAACATTTATAAAAAACTCATTAGAGCTGGGCAATATGACAATATTCGTTATAACAATAATCATTATCGTGATAATTTATGTCACAATATGCTTTTCTGAGTGTATTGTGGACATAATCAACACTGAAAGTATACAGAGTAACTACATGTTTCATTACAAAGTGAGCATAATTGGCCTGTTTAATTGAAATAGTGCATTCCATTTTGTATATTCTAACATACTAAATCTCAGAAAAACTAAATATCATGATGCATATCAAGTATCATGAAAATGTCTTGAAGTATCATGATATAATATTTTTGCCATATCGCCCACCCCAAAAACTCATCATGATGAATGACTTAAACCTACATAAACATGTATAAAGGCTTATTCCAACTGGTGCCGTCTGTCACAAATGCGGCTTTTGTCAATTCTGATGATGAGTTGACATAAGACCTATGTCAAGTGACATCGATTTTATCTGACATTGGGTTGTGTCATGAGAGTTTTCTGGGGGAATTGACATAGCTCGTTATAACAACTGACATTGTAGCTTAGTGTCTAACACAGTGACTTAATGCTGTTGATGTGACAGCTTAAATCTTATAAATGGTAAAATAAAACATACTTTACCTAAAGGCCACAAAAAATACTCGCTTTTGTTAAACCAGCCTAACTTGGCAAGCTATGTCAGATTATTAGCATGATATCACTGTGACGTACACTGAGCTACATTATTTCACCTCAGAGATTGTCACAACAATCTAATGTCAGAAAATTATAATGTCATCTGACATAGATGTTATGTCAAGTTGACATCAAAGTTGCCAAATGCAACCTTTATGACAAATAATGTGTTCATAAATGTTTATGTAATTTGTCATGCAGGGCTTATGTAGGTGTTATGTAGCCTTATGAACACTGTCCTCCAGTAGTGTTACTATAAAACCTTTAGGGTCATGAAAATACTGAGATGGTAAATTCTGTTGTTATTGGCCAAAATTCTGGGTAACATACGAAGGTGACTACAAAGGTTAAAATATATCAAAATAAAACAAAAATGTTAATTTAAAAAAAAAAATGCTGTCTGTTGATACTCTGGTGAGTTCAGTGATTTTCAATTAAGAACAATAGTTTAAAAAGTTGGTAATTATTGTGATAAATCAGTAAATTTCCTGGATAAGCAGGAATTTTGTATTTTGAGTTTGAGATTAAAGGAGCTTTTGTTTGACAGCAATGACATTCTGATGACTTTAACCAGAGATGTTATAAAAAAGGAGACAGTCATTGGCTGGAAAATGAATGAAACTGTTAACGCTCAACATGCCTTCAGTACCTTCTGTAAAAACAGCCAATTAGCTTGCTGGTTAAGCCGCAAACGGGAAAAGCATCCCTCAGTTGTGGAGATCTGTGCAAGCTCAGTAGCCATAACAACTCAAAAAACATGTTTTTTGTGCGTTATTGAGCCAAATGCTGCAATTTATTTATGGGATTTTTGTTAGATTTTATCAGTGATTTTAAATCTGTTTTTGAAACAGTAACTAGACCTTCAGTTTCGAGTTTTTTAGGTCTCTCTCCATTCAGTAAGCACCTTGGTCTGTTGTTTTCACTGCTTGTTCCCGCTAGACCAAAACACTCCAGAGAGAGCAGTAGGGTTAATAGTGAGGCAAATAACAGGGAGAAACTGGGTTGGAGCAGCAGGCCTTGCTGTGAGGATCAGGACATCCACTCCAAACCAGAATAGCCCAGCTGTAGAGGGCAAATGTTTTAAATTTTCAACAATTTTTTTTTATTCATGTATTAAAAGTTTATTGCTTGCAGTCTGGCTGCATTAAAATGTTTTTCAACTTAAAAAGGTAAGTAACAAAAATTGACATTAAAACTCAGTAAGTTAATAACACACACATACAAAAAACACACTTTCTGAACAACATTGGTGAATAAATTTAAGATGATAAAAAAGGAAATGTTATGATTACAGGATTTTAACTTAATTAATTATTGAATACATTTTCACACTGTATCTTTGTGGTGCTTTACAACTTGCCTATGCAAAATACATTTCATACTGACCAATAAACCTGTGAATTAACTAACCATGTCAAAATCCACTGCTATACTGTCCATATTTATGAATTTGGATAATGCCCAGCTGCCAGTTGGACTGTGACTAGTGTTTTGAAATGATATCACACTGTGATGCAGTTCTACTCACTGGAATCAACAAATGGTCCACATCAAACTGTATGAAAAGCATTTAAAATTTCCAGGCCAGACTCAGATTATACAAATACACAGCAACACCTTAGAAAACACCTTGGACATCTTAGCAACCACCTAAGAACACCATAGGAACCACAACAAATTCCATAGCAACGGGTTCGCAACACCCCAGCAACCATCTGGGATACCATAGTAACTTGTTAGAAAAACCCTAATAGCTACCTGGAACACTATAGCAACCACATACCAACACCCTTGCAACTACTTGGTAGCAAGAATCTAGCAACCTGCAGAGATTCCATCACAAACACCCTAGTAACCACCACAAACACCATAGTAACCACCTAATAACACCCTAGCAACCACATGGAATGCCATACCAACTGCCTAGCAAACCCCCTGACAACAGCCTAGGATACCACAGCAACCAGCTAAAGCCACCCAAGCAACCTCCTGGAACACCATAGCAACCAGCAAGTAACATCCTAGCAACCACTAGAGATACAGTAACAGGTTACTAACACCTTATTAACCACCTGGGAAACCACAGAAACAACCTTGCAACACCCTAGCAACCGCCTGGAAAACAATTTCTTGAAATATTTTTTACTACTTGCTAGTGCACGATGATGTAATCAAAAATCAGAGACATTTTAGTCAGGCGTTCTGATGAGAGATTACTAAAAATGAGTTCTGTCTTAAATGAGATGATTTGAAAAACTGTGGTTTAACTGAGCGACCTAACAGGGACGCGAACCAACAAGGCAAAAAAAAGATAAATATTTGATTTCAGGTTGACTTTAAATATTAACTCACTGTCTTATCAAATAAAATCTTCCCAGCTTGTTACTGTTCATATGTGCATATAAGTAGGGGGCTAGGGATGAGTATAGAAAATGGAAAAAGTGACAGGATTTGCTGATTCCACACACCCTCTTATGCAACGTGTTACAGCCCATTAGCTGAGTGGAGCTGAGGCAGCGGTGATAAGACTGATAGAGTCCAGCTCAGAGTGGCACCATGCATTCACACCAAACCTCGTTTGCAAAGATTCACATATTTTCCACACATACTTATCATGTGTAGGACTGTCAGGATTATTTGGCAAAACTAAATTAAAAACTATATAGTATATTATATATATATATATATATATATATATATATATAAGCATGTCTATATATATAACATGACCTTTAATCATAATTCTTTTTTATTAGTTGGCAAAATAATCTGTTCCGGTCACAACATGCATCATGGTACTTATCAGTGTGGGGTTTAAAGACTGTGTAGTTGAGGTGCTGCTGTTTGTATCTGTTCTTCAGACTGCTGATGTTGATAGCTTATCAGCCAGTCAGCTATCTAGGCTTTCATACAGGTATTGTGATGTGCAAACCTGTTATTTGTCTCTTTTGGTAGGTGTTGTAAAATTTCTGGGGAAGTACACTAGAGTTGTATCTGAACGTTGCCACTACATTTATACCACAGTGTAGCATAATTAAACATGAGTCATTGTGCTGAATAGATTGCAGATATCCTTCCAATGTAACACTCTACTTGATTCATATCATGTAAACTGGCAACAAATTTCTCATTTAAGGATTTATAATTTCAGTTTGGCCTGTTAAGGAGAAAATAATGTTATTTACATTGCAATTCTGACTAATACCGAGAAAAAAGATGGCCAAAAATACCAGCCACAGGCCAATTAGGCTGTAAAGAAATAAAAATCACCCATAAAATTTATGATCGGTGCATCCCTACCGAGCAGATTTATTTTCTTCCTGTTTTCTGTTATATCAGGCTTAAACCCTGAGAATACCTATTTTTTATGTGCAAAGTAAAAATACAATAAAAAGTAATGAACACAGTAGCTGTCCTTTACACTGTGTAAAAAACTTGATGAACAGACGAACAGAAATGCTCCAAAATGACTCAGATATTTACATAATCGCCTAATCACAATTATTTTTGCAACGTTTGCAATTATTTTGTCTGACTGCAATCGTTTTCCACAGTTGTCAGACTTCATCTTATTTCACAACAAGCACACATACAAAATGTTAATTGGATGTAGTGGATTCAAGTACATTAATGTAAATAAAAGAAAGCAGTAAATGCATTTATTGAGACACATCATAGGACATTTCCAAAGACATAAGTTGCACTAATGTTTTCTGCATTATTCTAGCAAAATGAGTATTTTTTGCTTATATTTTCACTCTTCAGAAAAAATGGAATGGAATGCTTGATTCTACACATGATTATGTGTAACATGCACACATTTGTGTGACAGCGAGTAAACTTAGTAGCTATATTAAAGGGAAACCCCACTGATTTTTCAAAATTCCTGCATAATTAAATGGTTGCGATATAAACAGAGTCATTCAGAGTGGTTTGGTATGAAACGCTCCGTTCTAGGGAGAGTCGGAACTTGCCGAGTCCCGAATTTTTCACAGTGGTGGTGATAGGAACTAGACGTCTACCTCTAAAAGCTCCCTCACAGAAAGTTATTACATGAAATGGTTAAGTATACACTGCCTAATGTCTGTCTGCGATGGACTGGTGACCTGTCCAGGGTGTATCCTCCCTTCCACCCAATGACTGCTGGGATAGGCTCCAGCTCCCCCCATGACCCAGAAGGATAAGCGGTTTAGAAAGTGTGTGTGTGTGTGTGTGTGTGTGTGTGTGTGTTTTAATTTTATTAAATGTGTATTAATTTTGATCCATTCATTGTGAAGGAATACATAAAGGGTGTTCTAAGCCAAAACAGTCCCCAAAGAAAATACTTTTCCTCAGATTTACCACTATTTTACCACCATTAACATAAACACTCAGAAGACACGTGTAGGTTCACTGGTGGTTTTGGATACGAAAAATGTCTATATTTGTGTTATAGACATGGTGACCCCTGGTTCCTATCACCACTGTAAAGACATACATTGCATACACTGGGCAACAAATCTGTAAACCATTTCATCTAATAGTTTATTCATAAGCGTTAAACATGTCGAACGTCTTATTCCTCTTATTATCACATAAGGTCTGTAAGGTTCTCTACAATGAACAATTCCACATCCAACTACTCTGAATGTCTCTGTTTATATTTCAACCACTGAATGATGCAGACATTTTGAAAATTCAGTCGAATTCACCTTTAAGTGAACATAGCTCAAAAGCATTATGGCTAATCAGCCGATTTGGCCACTTTAGGCTTGTACTTAAACAGCTATTTACATTGAACAAGAAAAATGTTTAAATCGTTAATCACAATTTATTATGTGACAATTAACCATCAGCCAGATTTTTACAATTGTGACAGCCAGACTTGGAATGAAATACATTAACTTATATTCAAATTTGAGAGCTATAAAGTTACTATTTTTGGAGACACACAGGTTTATTTGGACAGCAACAAGGTAAAAGACGAAGCTATATGTGAATCCGCAAAATAACCAGTTTCTTTTTGCATAAAATAAAAAGTAAATAATACTACATATGTCAGGTGTGTAGCACAGAAACATAATACTAAACTATACATGTCATTAGCATCTTAAACAAGATGACGCATCCTAACTGAACAGACGAAAAGCCAGCACTGAGTGTGGCGTCAGGTGTCACATCTGCTTGTTATCTACTGCTCATATGTTTCTTCCTTCCAGTAACTCAGCCTCAGGGCACAAAGACAAGCGTCAGCGCCAGGGGCACAATGCTCCCCCAGCCCAGGGCTGTGGAGCAGAACTGTGTTCTCTGGAGTGATGGAGCTCCACCAGCCATCTTTGGAATGAGTTGAAGTGATCCAGAAGATCAGTACCTGACCTCAATAATGCTCTTGTGGCTGAATGCAATCAAATTCGGACAGCAATGTTCCAACATATAATGTAAAGCCTTCCCAGAAGAGTAGATGTTTTGGAACACACCATGCATGGCAACAGTACTGGTGTAGGCCAGCATTAAAGGGGAAGTCCACCGATTTAAAAAAATGTTTGCATAGTTCTGACGTTGTCATTCAGAGTGGTTTGACGTGAAACAGTTCATTTTAGAGAAACTTACTGACTCAGATTTCTTTACAGTGGTGGTGATAGGAACCAGGGGTCACAATGTCTACAACACAAATATAACCATTTTATTTACTATCCAACCTACACGTACCTTCTGAGTTTTTATATGTAATGTTGACGATGGTAAAACAGCAAAATAGTTTTCTTTGGGGACTATGTTGCCTCACAATGCCTAGGATGAACGCTTTCATCATGAATAGATTAAAATAAATGGATTAACAAGACATTTTAGGCCAGAACTTTACCACAAAACTGTCATAAAACAATGACATCAGACAGTGTATTCATAATCACTTCGTGTAATAACTTTCTGTGAACACTTTTAGAGGCGGACGCCCGGTTCCTGACACCACCGCTGTGAACAATTCTGACTCATTAAGTTTCTCTAGCACATCAAACCACTCTGAATGACTTTATTTACATCTTAACCATTTAATCATGTAGAAATTTTGAAAGATTATTGGAGTTCCCCTTTAAGTACTACAATAAAGACTGTCCGAGCATGTGAGCAGGTTTGAGCACAAAAAGAAAGCACTGTGGTGTACAGGTGGAGGTGGTGAGGGAGGGTTTGCCTGTGAAGACAATCATAAGGACTGTTTTGACACATAATGACAGGTATGCAGGAAGTGAGCCGGGTCGTCTTCTTTTCCACCCGACTATTCTGGCACTCTCAAAACAACCCCTTTTTCGTTTGCTTTGTTTTCCTCTGCTGAAGCTCGGACAAACACTCGAATGGGTGTCTTCCTGACCACGATTGTTTCCACTTTCTTCCTAACTGCAAATGTTCCACTGGTGGGTGAAAAGACTGAAGTCAAACGCAGACCTGAGTAATCATGGAACACCTTTGTAAGAATACTCGTTAGCCAGCACACTGATCTTTCGTCATGTAGACATTGTTCCTGCAAACAAATGTAAAACCTGCCAATTAGGCCATGACTTGGCCTGAAAGCAAACACTGCAAGTAAACTATCACATCCTTATTCTTCAAGGATCCAGTCAGCTCCAGAAGAGGCTGGCTGCATATCAGCGGCTGAAGGTTTGAGGTCATTTTTTATGGCACTGGAATGCCTTAAAGGGCCCATATCATGGATGAGTGAGTTTTCCTTGCTTTTTGCAGGGGGAAAAAAGTTCTCAGAGTAGTATGCAAACATTGCTCATGTTTTAAATTGCACCATTCATACGATCCAAACTAATATATAATATATCCACAGCATGAAGTTATAAGGAGTGTTTCAGTTCTGAATCATTTCTGAATGAGGCTCAACAAAGGGTGGCCAATCAGAATGCAGAACAGAGCTCATTTACATACATGAGTCTTAAAGACAAAAACAGCTTGTTTAATTCTAAGTTTGAGGGATGAAGAGAGGTTGGAAAATGGTCATGTAAAAATGAATTATATCTGTTTTTGGTACATAAAACCGCGCAAATGTTGTAAGCAGACCTCAAAGGAAAAAATGAGGATATGGGCCCTTTAAATACACACCACTAATTCACCTGTTGAATGTTCAGGTGATTCACAACAGGACAAAACAATGCAACGTGTTAGTTAGTACTTTGGGAGCTCCTAAGGTGACGTGGGCTGTGCAAAACCACATACTGTCATACTAAATAATATGTCAAAAACAGAACACCACCAATAGAAGTCCATTTATTAGAGTAGTACAGTACTATATGGCTTTGGTCTATATTTCAATAAGGCACTGTCACAAATTAACATACTGAGGACACAAATGTCTATAATAAAGCCAGAGATTATTATATGGTGCCTCCAATTAATATACTGAGGCCACAAATGAATACACTGAGGCCAGTATATACTGAGTTCACCATATCATCGTAAGTACTTATCACAAAGCATTAACAGAAGGCTGCCTTCTTGTAATGTGAGTCAGCCATCAAATTCCCAAGAGTGCTGTGAAAAAACCCACCATAACAAACTGATGTTTAGTCTGTCTCTTCATGAACAAGTGCTGCTTCAGAGAAAAGTCCTCTGCAGGCAGTATCCCCAAACATTTTACCTCAGAAACAGCAGCGAAACCGACATATGAGAATCACTGAAGCAGCCCCGACTCACCTGCGGCTGTAAGGTGCGAGACTGAGGGGGAACTTCTTATCTCCGACTCCCACAGCTGCTCCATTCAGCGGTTACAGCGGCGCCGCGACTGCCGTCGGTTTTAACAAGCATTTTTGCAGCACACAGCGGCTCTCTTTCATTAATACAGCGTGTCTGGACCCCAGCTAGCCGCACTCTACCTGGCCGAAACTGCCGCTCCTCTCAGGTGTCGCTGGCCGCGTCATTTGATCCCCTCGCGCAAACCGGTTCGCCTTCGTGCGCTCAGGTGCAGCCGAAAGGGCGGTACAGTCCGGGGCTGCGTTCAAAACAGTTCACTCGCTCACTCCCTCCCTTACGCACTACCCAAAGCATATGTGTGGGAGATCGACAGGGGCAACAAGGCGACGATTAAGCGCACTAGTTTCCAAGACGCTGTATGACGTCAGCAGACCTGAGGGGCGGAGAAGGCAAACTAGTTATGTTTACTCAGTTTACACACGCTTAGAACCGTACTAGATATTCTTCTCGAGTGCTTTTATGTGGAACGTACCCCTCGCCAAGCCCCTCTATTGTCTTTAATCTCACTCTGTAGTGTTGGTGAGCTGCTTTACAGTTGCTTAAACCTCTCATTTTCAAGCTTAAGCATTTTAATATAGACCAAAAGTACCCCAAATAAAGAAGAATAGGAGTTAACAAGCTTAAAGGGGAATTCCACCAATTTTTTAAAATTTCTGAATGATTTACACCTTGAGGTGTAAGCAGAGTCATTCAGAGTGGTTTGACATGAAATGTTCCTCTGTAGAGAAACTTAAAGATTTCTTTACAGTGGTGGTGATAGGAACCAGGGATCGCAATGTCTACAATAAAAATATAACCATTTTATTTACCGTTCAGAACCACCAGCAAACCGTGTCTTCTGAGTTTTTTGTGTAAAACTAATCATGGCAAAATAATCATAAATCCAAAAAATAAGATTTCTTTGGGGAGTATTTTGCCTAACAACACCCCGCACATACCTCTCCTCAATTAATGAATTAAAATGAATGAACTAAGACACATTTTAAGCCAAAACTTTATCACATCTCCCATAAACAATGTCTCAGACATCAGGCAGAGTATTTCTAACCATTTCATGCAATAACTTTCTGTAAAGGGAGCTTTTAGAGGTGGGCGTCTGGTTCCTATCACCACCATTAAGAACAATTCTGCCTTGGCAAGCTTCTCTAAAATGGAGCATATATCAAACCACTCTGAATGACTTTGTTTGCATCTCAACCATTTAAATACGTGGAATTTCTGAATTTTTGGTGGAGTTGTCCTTTAAGTAAGCTGTTAGTAGCTACTTTTACTCAAGTCTTTTTATCAGTCACAATTGGGGAAATCAGTAAATTGTGCTGGACACTGGCCCTCCAGGACCACAGCTGTGCAGCCCAGCTCTGTGGTCACTGCTTGCCCTTTAGGAATAGCCTTTCCAACAAGGGTGGGGAATTGTGCAGCTCCAGCATGGGCAGTGTTTGGAATCTAGAGTGAAAAGCTTCTTTATTCTTTTTCTACCTCCCTCTTTTTCTGCAAGAATGCTGAGCCTGTCGATATTGAAAGTGTTCATACTGCCATCATCACCCAACATCTCTTCCTACAGTAGAAGACACGTTCAGTCAAATGAACAAGAGGACATTTCACTCATGTTGTCTAACAGCAGTGGAAGGGAATATGAATGAAAGAAATCTCCACTCAGTTTACATTATCTGCAGGCATTCTGCTTATATCAGCTTGCTTGTATAGCACTCTTCATATCTTGTAAACAGATTGTCAGGACTTCTTTTCCGTTCCTCGGCTAACGTAGGAGGGTTTCTTATCTAATTATCTACAGAGATAAGATGCAAACAAAGCAGGTTTCTGACTGTTGCAAACAAAGCAGGGTTTCTGACTGTTGTTTTTCCTGTCTATGAATTCAAGCAGAGCAGCATCCAGTATCTTCACACCTCAATTTAAGAGCAAAGTGCAACAAAGCAGACCATTTACTAGGCCCACTGGGTTCATATTTGTTGCATGATCAGCCCATTTTAAATGGTGATGTCAAGAAAAGTGAATTCATTTACAAATATCTGCCTATTTGGCCTACCACAGTTTGGCCCTGCCCACTCAAGTTGAAGTTAGACTGATTTTAGAATGAGGGCAGCAGAACAGAGATCATTTAAATATATCGGTCTGAAATGCCTCAGTAACAGAAATGGCCTGTTTAATTCTATGGGATAAAGAGAGGTTGGAAAACAACCATGCAGAAATGATGAATAAAGGCTGTTTTATGGACACAAAAATGCACAAAAATGTGTGGAATGTTTTTTTAAAGAAGCAATGAGCTTTCTTAGTAGGCTACCAATCTGTTCACCAAAGAAAATATGAATTCATCAACAAGTAATGAAAAGATACCACTTTTTGAGTGATGTCCAGTTTTAGTGTTTAGGCCAGGGGTGTCAGACCCAACCACTGAAACAGAAGTCCATTCATTAGTGTAGTATGTGTAGTATAGCACTTTGTGGTTTTGGACTATATTTCAATAAGGCACTGTCACAAATTAACATATTGAGGACAAAAATGTCTATAATCAAGCCAGAGATTAATACATGGTGCCTCCAATTAATATATTGAGGCCACAAATTAATATACTGAGGCCACTAGTTCATATCATCGTAAGTACTCTGTTCATATCATCTCTGCACTGAAAGGGCTAGAGAACACTTATGTTTATTTCAATTCTAAGTTGAAAACCATTTTGCTATAACCCGATCTGACCCTTGTTTATTCAAAATATGCCAAAACATTAACAGCTAAATACAGGGATTTGTGGCAGACTTTGAAATATTACATGAGTACCTGAAATATAAAACACACACAGTGTTTATAGTGTTCATGTTGTTTGAACTGCATCTGAAACACAGCTAGTGTGTTCGGTGATATGACTGGTGTAGAACTGTGTAGTATTGTGCTGTAACCACCATTCCATTGTTGTTGGGGGAGGGAGCACATATTACGTTGCAGTGCATGCTGGGGATTGTAGCGCAATGCACTGTAAAACAAGCTAATAGAAAGTCAAAATAATTTTGAGGGGTGGGTAGGATTATGCCGCAGGCCTAATCTGGCCCCCAGGTCATATGCTAGACACATAACGTTTAGGGTTCCAACTATTAACACAGTAGAATCATTCTGTGTGTTCAGTACCTGTAGAACTTCTTGTCTGCATGTAGGACATAGGTTGTTTTTTGCAAAGCACATTTTTAAATAAATATTTATAAAGCTGTTAGTTCCCATCCTAAAATCCGAAGCTGTATTCTCAATATTCTGCACCTATGACTGCCTCACAATAACTAAAGTCTGTATTACTGTGCCAAATCATAAGAATCATAAGAATTGAGCTGTTAAAGGAATAATCTTTGACTGTAATGTTGCTCACATGGACCATCGAGTGCACTGAAGATCCAGTTTTGTTTAAACTGAAAGGCTGACAACTTATTGTCTTACTAGAATGAGGCTGATCAGCTAGCTAACAGGCTAAAATATAGCTAAAAAGCTAAACAACACCTCTATCAATATCACAGTCCTGAATTAAAGTACTTACTGTAGAACACACTGCAAAATGACAATATGAAAGACCAGAGAATTTGTCACTTGAATGGCTGACACACTTTAAATGTCCATATTTTAATCAGATCTGCCTTAAAAAGCAACAAACCCAGCCTGAATCTCAAGCCGCTCCCTACTCCCTGAATGATGAGCTGGATGTGTAAGTTCTGAAACTCTAGTTGCACTACCTGTCCAGTACGGAATTGTGCAAAGTGTGGAAGTGACGATATTAAAAATGACTACATATTAGACATATTATGCACTTTTTGGGCGCAGGAGACAGAATTTTAACTCCTACATTGCAAAAAAAGAGTAGGGATTCAGACCCAGTATGGGAAAAACGTTGGTGCTAATTTAAGACTGGAAATTGCATAGAGAAGCTAACAGAAGTTACTATTGTCCTCACTGTGGTACTTTTGTGAACAATTAAACAGTGCATTCTTATGATATGTTCATTATTATGTGATAAAAAGCTAAGAAGGTAATATATACATATATACATACATATATATACAGTGATGGGTTACATGGTTGCTTAGCAGCAACAACTAACAATTCTAAAGGACCTAAATTTCTTGGCAAAAAAATTCGTTATTTCATATTATCAGTTATAACCTAGATTTTTTATAGATTATTCTAGATTACTATTTAAAAATGTGTATTTTTTATTTTTTAAAAACAATTTTATAAAAGCAATTAGCCACTTGAGGCCATGCATTATAGTAATTTTAAAATCACTGTAATGCGCCGCCTCTTGTGGACTATTGCTTTAATGAAGAATTACATAACCTTTTGTTCCACAAATATTTTATTTAATACAATAAAAATGAAACATTTCCTTTGAGACACAGCTTTCAACTTTAACTCACATAATCAGAGGAATTATGAGACTCCAAACTCTACTTCAAATGAGGCACTGTGTGTGCTAGCTTTAGCTTGCATGCTACACAAACAAGGTCCTCCAAAACAACAAGTATTGACACTCAGGTTCCACCAAAACACACAAAACATAACTTACCAATCTCATCCTAGAACTAAAATGCCTTCAGATGGTAAACAGTCTCACAGTTCACATGCTGTTTAATGACCAAGACAACCTTAAGGCCACTTTAGAACTTAGCATCAAACATTATGCTAGTTGTTTTGTTTGCCCCCGGAAAGAATGTGCCACTGAAATATCATTCGAAAAGAGAAGAATTATAAATGTAAACACAAATAAAAGACACTCTTCATGACCAAGACATAAAAAACATTACTTCAAAAACTAGTCCATGTACAAGGTACAAGTTATTTTATATTATAAGAAGGATATTTTCAGGTTTGAAAAGGTTGTAGTCTCAGATATTGATGACATGGTCTCCTCTTCTTAAATTCAAACATGGATTTACCAAATGAAATAGGCTTTTTATTTTAGGCCTCGGGCTTTTTGTCTTTTGGAGTTTCAAAGAGAATGTGTGGTTCCTCTGTGTTGATTAGTCATACTAATTTAACAAGATTAAAATCCCTTTGAAAATAAAAATGTATAATGATAGTTGCACATTTGGCTACCATACAAATCAATGCAGTGGAAGGTAAAGTGTGAATAAATTGTAAACTGAATTTCTGATGGATTCAGTCTGCAAGAATGAAAATCTTTGGGATACTGTATGACCATCTGAATAATGGACGCTAATGAACTGTGGGCAGAGGGTGTCCTCTACAGATGAAGCTCAGGAACTGCTGCTCAGTCTGCGGCGGATGAGGGAGGCTGGCTTGGTCTCTATGTCCTCTTGGTCACTTTCACAGCTTCTCTGAAGGGGCAGAAACGTACACGTGGTTACATTCTTTCTCAATACAACCTTATAAAATACATCATAATCCACTGGCTTCCAACCCAGACCTCAAAGATGATCAGTCACTCCACACTTTTCTTCTTTCCCTGCTCCCATCACATTTAAGTAGATCAATAAGCACTTGTTTCTCTGTCTCAAGTGTTTTTAACTCTTTGTTCAGATACTTTTGATAGAACAGAGCAAAGGCTTTGGCTTTTTTGTAGTCAACGTTTCTGTAAGATTTATACAATCAAGCAAAGCCAAAAAAGTATAGGAAAAAACAAAACAAACACAAAAAACATATATCGTTGAGTTCACAGAAAAACCTTGTATGTCCATTTTTGTTGGTTTGGTTACTTCTTTTGCATAATCTGAAAACTCTTGTTAGACTTTGCATTGTGTTAAAATTTCACGAAGAATGGGCCAACAGCAATGGTCCAAAACTACTTGTGAATTTTTTTTTTTTTACATTAACTCCCATTATAAGAAGGTTTTTTGCTTCTCCTGTAAAGTCACACACACACACACACACACACACACACACACACACACACATATATATATATATATATATATATAGAGAGAGAGAGAGAGAGAGAGAGAGTATATTTATAAACAATGTAAAGGGCAATAAGTATTTTCAAATCATGTCAAATCATGTCAAAAACCAAAAAACAACAACAATGGAGATACGAGGTTTTCTTCTGACAACAGCGATTTATATACATACATATATATAAATATATATGTATATGTGTGTGTGTGTGTTTGTGTGTGTATTAAATATGTATATATTTTTAAATTGCAAAGTATAAGTAAGCATGCTGTTAACAAGATTAAAAAAGAAATAGACATTGTCTTTTCTGCCAGTAAACACAGGCGCTGTGAAATCTCAAATTTCACTTGCTGATACAAATTTTAATAGTACTTTAAAAGTTGAGCTTTTGACGTGTGGTTGCTTTTCTCTTATTTATTTTTTTCAAACCGATTATAGAAAAATTAAGTTTTTCAAAATGTCTGCACAATTCAATCTCTGACATGTAAGGAAAAATGTTCAGAGAGCTGAAATCCTCTGTTTTAGAAAAACTTGCCACCTCAGATTTCTTTACAGTGGTGGTGATAGGAACCAGGGGTCCTATCTACAATGCTGCCAGTAAACGTACATATGTGTTCTGAGTTTCTATGTGTAAGAATGAAAATGTTAAATTGTTGTAAATCTATAAAAATATGTTTTTTCTGGAGACTGTTTTGCCTTACAACACTAAACACATTGGATGTCTGTTTCCTATCATCAGCCAGATAAATTATGCAGAAAATTGGAAAAATTGGTGGATTAACTCTTCAATGTATAGATTTAGTACAGACTTTTTTGGGCTTAAAACGTTAAGACATTAAAAACATTTAGACGTGACATTGTTACGTTGGTTCAGAATCTGTATTGCTTTGCGAGTCTCAGTGTCACATCTTTAGCTCAAGTGTCTTACAGAAGAACAGACTGAATAAACTTCAGCTCCTATGTTAATTACTGCTGGATGTTGTACGCAGTTCTATGTGTACTTTAACTCAAGTTGTTTTTGGACAGGTACAGTTACTTCAATCACTATTTCACAGTAATAATACTTCAACTGAGGCAGGGCCTCTGGGGGCTGCGCAAAAAGCCACAAGCTGCAGGAGAAAATATGGACTACGAACCTCAAATGGTGGGTCTGGAATCTGTGACCTAAACCCCCACACCTCAACTATCCATCCAAAAAATTCATTTAATGTAAGCCTTACCAGCTCCTCGTCCTCCTTGGCTCTCTTACATAGCAGCTGGAGACGGCACAGTCTGTTACACGCCCACACCATGTTATAGGACATCTGAAAACAAGCAGAAGGCTCAGGCTTTAGGGGCCTACACTGTAAAAATGGTCCAAAAGTAACTAATCTAGTTGCCTTCAAATTTGGAGCTCATTGCACTTCTGTTAGGAAGTTAAAAGAAGAATAATCTGTGTTTTACATTCTGTTAACCTGTTAACTGTTGCCCCATTCTTGCCTGAAGCGGCACACCAAACATAAAGCAGCGCTGTTTCCACATACTTTGGGCTACAGTCATGATCTTGGTCTCATTTGAAAGGTATCACTCTCAACTATCAGAATAACTGTATTAATTAATGACACAGAATAACAGAGGCTAGAACAGAGTTTATTTCTGCTTGACTCATAGATCTCTAAACTGATCTTTGACTCTTGCTGTGTTATTACATGTTTTGGCTTATGATGTCTCTGTGGACAGCGACGAGGCTTTGAAGGTAAGGACCCACAGATTTGCTAGCATTTGGTCATTCAGTGCTTATGTTTCAAACGAGACAATTGTTACTGCTGTGAATAACAATTAATGATATGCAGGAATGCAATAAATGCACAAAAAACTGGAAGTAAAGCTTTGACAAAAGAATGCCGTACTGGTACAGTGATATAGTAAAGTTTTACTTTTTATTTGAAGTTCAGTTCAGTTAAAACATCTAATCATTTTTTTTACAGTGAGGGCTACATTAACAGTTATAAGATCCCATTTTGGCTCTTAAATGTAATGAAATCCATTAAATACACAAATGGAAGATCAGATTTGGACATCAGACTAATCCAGTAGCAATAATCCAAGAACAAGACGCAGGAAAAAACAGTCCTTGTTAAAACTCCTACACTTGTTATACTCGACTTGTCTGATAGATGGCAGTGTGCTTCCAATAACTTTCATCTGAAACACTCGCACACAAACATCACTCAGCACCACACACACACTAACCTTCCACTTTCTCCTGGCATTGAACTTCTTGAAGTTTTTCATGTTGATAGACGAGCGGCTCCTGTTAGCTGCCTGCTTACGTGTCAGGGGCTGAGAGAGAGAGAGATATGTCATAATATGCTTTCCATAGTAATCATCATCATATTACAATGTCATTTATTCCACATTAATATTAGTCACTTCTCACCTTGATCCAAGGGTGCAGTAAACACTCCTCTGCTGTCATTCTGTCACTGTGAAAAGAAAACCATCAGGTCCAACATCAGTCCTCATGCTAAACACTGGAAATACACACATTTTTTTGTGCTAGTCTTTCAGTTACCTTGGATCTTTTACGAGCAGCTTCTCAATGAAGTCCTTGGCCATGTCGCTCGTCTGGCTAAAGTACTGGTCCTCAAATTCGTACTTCATATCTACAATGTTTCTTAGTGTCTCCTCATCTGAGTCTCCTTGAAAAGGTGACATACCACTTAATCTAAACAGAAGAGATTTGGAAAGATGTCAAAATTTTTTAGAAAAAGTTAAACAAAATAAAAACAAGACAACTCAATAAAGTTACAATATATAATACACACAGACACACAAACACACACACACACATACATATAATAATGTGTATATGAGTATGCGTATGTGTATATATATATATATATATATATATATATATATATATATATATATATATATAACACAAGTAAACACAAAATGCAGTTTAGAAATGAAGATTTTTATTATTAAGAGAAAAAGAAATCCAAACCTACAGGGCCCTGTGTGAAAAAGTGATTGCCTCCTGAACCTAATAACTGGTTGGGCCACTCTTAGCAGCAACAACTGCAATCACGTGTTTGCGATAACTGGCAATGAGTCTTTTACAGCGCTGTGGAGAAATTTTGGCCCACTCATCTTTGCAGAATTGTTGTAATCCAGCCACATTGGAGGGGTTCCGAGCATGAACTGCCTTTTTAAGGTCATGCCACAACATCTCAAACGGATTCAGGTCAGGACTTTGACTAGGCCACTCCAAAGTCTTAATTTTGTTTTTCTTAAGCCATTCAGAGGTGGACTTGCTGGTGTGTTTTGGATCATTGTCCTGCTGCAGAACCCAAGTGCGCTTCAGCTTGAGGTCACAACACATGGCCGGACATTCTCCTTCAGGACTTTTTGGTAGACAGCATAATTCATGGTTCCATTTACCACAGCATGTCTTCCAGGTCCTGAAGCAGCAAAACAGCCCATCACACTACCACCACCATATTTTACTGTTGGTATGATGTTCCTTTTCTGAAATGCTGTGTTACTTCTGTTCAACTTTTGTCTCGTCAGTCCCCAGAGTATTCTCCCAAAAGTCTTGGGGATCATCAAGATGTTTTCTGGCAAAACTGAGACGAGCCTTTATGTTCTTTTTGCTCAGCAGTGGTTTTCGTCTTGGAACTCTGCCATGCAGGCCATTTTTGCCCAGTCTCTTTCTTATGGTGGAGTCATGAACACTGACCTTAACTGAGGCAAGTGAGGCCTGCAGTTCTTTGGATGTTGTTGCGGGGTCTTTTGTGACCTCTTGGATGAGTCGTCGCGGCGCTCTTGGGGTAATTTTGGCCGGCCGGCCACTCCTGGGAAGGTTCACCACTGTTCCATGTTTTCGCCATTTGTGGATAATGGCTCTCACTGTGGTTCGCTGGAGTCCCAAAGCTTTAGAAATGGCTTTATAACCTTTTGCAGACAGATGGATCTCAATTACTTCATTTGTTCCTGAATTTCTTTGGATCGCAGCATGATGTCTAGCTTTTGAGGATCTTCAGGTCTACTTCACTTTGTCAGGCAGGTCCTATTTAAGTGATTTCTTGATTGAGAACAGGTGTGGCAGTAATCAGGCCTGGATGTGGCTAGGGAAATTGAACTCAGCTTCCAAAGATGTGATAAACCACAGTTAATTTATGTTTTAACGGGGCAGGGGGGGGCATCATTTCTAAACTGCATTTTGTGTTTACTTGTGTTATCTTTGTCTAATATTTAAATTTGTTTGGTGATCTGAAACATTTAAGTGTGACAAACATGCAAAAGAATAAGAAATCAGGAAGGGGGCAAACACTTTTTCACACCACTGTATATATATAGAAGTAAATGGATATTTAATTTTTTCCAAGTAATTTTGGACTCATTCTGTTGGTTCATTCATTATGGAATTTTGAAACATGATAAAGGGCAACTGGCCTTTTCCAATTATGCCAAAAAAGAAAAAACTACAAAAGCAGAGATATAGAGATACAAGATTTTGTCCCAACATATAGTGACTTTATTGACGTTACTGAATGAACTTACAGTATGTAGGTAATCACACCGATACTCCTGTTAGGAAACACAAACACATGGGTCAATAGTCAAGCATATACAATGACTGATCATTAGAGATGATCTGATATACAGTACTGATACTGGGCCAATAACAGCTCAAAATGCTGGATCAGACATCGTAGAAAAAAAAAAAAACAAATTTGACAAGATTCCATAACAAATATAGCCATAAAAAATATAACACAGTTGCCTGTAGCACAACATACCATAAAGTGAACAAAAGTAGGTCAGTGGTTACAACAGTAGCCACATGTAGCTTAAAGTCAGCCACACATGTGAGTGGCAATTGCTATTATGTCAGTGTTGAACTACACACAAGGTGTAGGCATGCGGTGGCCAGAGCCACCATAGAATGAAGCATGGCCACAGTTCTGGTCACCCCAGAAATGGAAAGTGAGACAGTCAGCCATCATCAATAAAGCAACAGCTATGCTAAGGGTGAAAATCTGCAACAGGGTAGTTTCCAATCAGTTCTGAGAGTATAATGAGGCTGTTTTTATTAGTTAGCTTATCTTTCTGACTGGCTGTGATAGGCTAATTTGCTGTTGATGATGAGTGAATGTGCACTGGGTCTGTTCAGCAGTACTCCTCCATAAGCTACATTATGAAGTAGGCTATGGGATGGTAAGATGAGTTAACTATCAAACATAAGTCAGCATAACATTGTAACCCCTTAAAATCCCAGGCTTATTACAAACTAAGCCTTATTATTCAGTAACTACAGGGATTTCAATGCAAACTGGTTAAGCTATTCTTAGGTTATAGACATGTGTAATAAAACTTTGGCCATTTTAGGGGTTAAACGTGCCATAACTTTAGTACTACCACATTTTTTGTTTTAGTTTTTTCCCCAATATGTTATTAAAATGTGCAGAAGTGTGTTCTCTGTAGTAGATGTGTTCGCTTATTTCCACTACAGCAAATTCAACAAAATAAGTCATTTGCCCAGGAGTGTCCAAGCCATTTATAACAGCTGTAATTGGCCATCGATCGGTGGACCTCTATTATTGATATATGTATGAAAAAAGAAAAGTATCATCATGCAATCTATACTAAATATAGTTTTGAACAGATGATGCACTCTTCATATATAAACCATTCAGGATGATGTGTGCTGCTTACCACATGTCAGATGCTGTACTCAGGGGTTCATAATTTATCACCTCAGGAGCTGAGAAAACCAGAGCGAAAGAAAAAAAAAGACAGTCGGGGAGAGAGAAAGAGAGAGGGTTGGGGGGTAGAGAGATGTTAGGCAGAGAAACAGAAAGATACAGACGGTGAGAAGAAAAAAGGAATTGAATTAATTTCAATATTAGGACAAAACAAGACAGCCAAATTAAAGCACTGATCATCATTCGACATTCTTTTGATCACTATGTTTGGGGGAATTTTTGAGCTGTCAGTGGGCCCACATTGTTGTGGCAGCCTGCCATTGTCTCAGCTTCCTGTTGAAAGAGCTCTCACTGGTAGTGCTTTGAGGTTGCATTGCCGTACTCACTACAACACCTTTAGTGTGCTATGTTTGCTACATCCTGTCCTAAACCACCACTTGCTACTGCCTCCAGAGACCTAGCGAACATAGACCACATAGCATGGTTCAACTTTCTAAACATAACTCTGATAGCTCGGGGGAAACATTTACTCAGTTTTCTGTTTACCACAAATGTTCAGCATAAAGTATTTTAGTTTTTCACTGTAGCTACGAGGCTAATGTAGCTAACAAGTAATGAGCGCTGATTATGACCACAAGCTATGCCTAAATCATCACACACACACTTCAAAGTACTTCAAGCTGTTAATCTCAAATAGACTTACGTGGTTTATAACACTGTGTGACGTTCTTTTGTCTATTAACATTAGACGAGTTTGTTACATTGCTAAAAACAGCAGTGCCATCTTGAAGCCTGAATTTTGAACATACTTGTCTATTTTTATAAAACTTCATTAAGTCTACTTGAGATTACTTAAAGGTGCAGATAGTAAGATTTGGGGGGATCTATTGCGTTTTCATTAGCTTAGAATGAGCAATTCATATCTACATAGGTAGAGGGTCCTCTTCCAACAGAGGCCACTATGCTGAACTACCATGTTTCTACAGTAGCCCAGAATGGACAAACCAAACACCGGCTCTAGAACGTGCCTTTCACATTTTTACGTTGAAGCGGCAGCTTGAATTTGGTGGCTCTGTAGAACTGGTGGTAAGAACCAAATTTTGACAAACTTATTATTTAGCACAGGAAGAACCAAAGGAGGGTGAACCCTCATTGGGACAGGTGATGGCATAGAAAACATGATGGTCACCGCAGGTTCTACTACATGCTTGGAAAGGGATAGGTGAGGGAGGGGGATTCAGTTTCTAGGTGCTCACCACTAGATGGCACTAAATCTTACACAATACACCTTTAACAACTCAAGATAGTTTGAAGCAAGTGTGGGATGATTTAGGCATGCAGTTAGCTTGATGCTAACGGCTGACTGATGTGTAAGCTTTCACTACTTGTTAGATACATTTGCTTCTGTGCAAAACTAAGGAAGCAAACTTCAGACTCAACTGACTCAATACATTTGAGGTAGAAGTAAAATTGTCTACTTTTTTGCTGAACTATTGCTTAAATACAAAATCTGTAGGAGAGTCTTTGCTAGCACTGGTATACAAATGCTACTCATTAGTGCTGAGGTGGCCTGAGCAGGATGTACCAACCCATGATGGTTAACTGATTCAAGCAATGAGAGTAAACTTACTTATTTAAAAACATTAAACTATAATTTACATTTCATAACATTTTATTACACACTGGTGGTGCAGCGCCTCACTAACAGCGTAACTGTGTTCCTAGGGTTCTATGTTCCCAGAGCCTGATGTTTTTACAGTTCCATGTTCCTATGTTCAGCTCTTTATATGATACGTTATGAAAGGGTTTCCTAAGATGGTTAACATCATGGGGTCATCAAAGGTCATACAGTGAACAATGAGGAGCAGATTTTTCAACAGGAACACACTCTGCCTCAGTTCGGCTAGCTTCAGTGATAGAGTTACCACCCATCCAGGATTTCCCTTGATTGTCCAGGTTTTTGCTAAACTATCCATGAAAAAAATCCATTCCTGGAAACAAAATGTACAAAAATCCAGAATTTCCACATGTTAGCCATACGTGCAAAAGATGGCTTTGATTAGATCAGATTTGGGAAAGGTACACTTCTGGTGACATGTTTAGGCACTAGGCAGCACTTCAATGTTTTAATATTTTTTTTTTATTTTTCAATGATATTGATATTTAATGCTGTGGAGTCCAAATAAAATTATGACAAATACTTGAAAGCAACATATCAGTGAACAGATTCTCAGTCTTGTTCACTGAAATGTTCAATCAGTGTGAATCTTAGATTTTTAGATTTTATTTAACGAACATACAGCTGTGTGCAAAGGTTTGCACACCCCTGGACAAATGACATGTTTTGCTTATTTTTCTATGACTGTATAAGATTAAAACACGTACATTTGTAAATACACCAGACGGCATATTTAGTTTATCAATTTATTTTCCAGTTGACAAATTATGACTGATGCAATCTGAGGACATACAGCAATTTCCCATGAAAATTTCAATGAGGAAACATAGAAACTTGGGAATACGCAACCCTGAGAACACAGCGCTGTTACCAAATTTCAAACAGGGAGCACGTGGCCTGGGGAGCATAGAACACAAGGAAATATAAGGCCCTGGGAAGTCAGGGATGACCTCATCTCACCCACTTACAGCTGTCTAGCCATTTTTCATATGGTTTTGCATTGCGCATGAGGGACTGTGGATGATAGAAGGTCTCGAAAGATACACCAGCTGAGTCCTTCACAGGGCTCATTTCTCAGCGGTGCAGGCTTTGGCGACATAACAGCCGAGACATGTGGAGTAACATGACTGTATCGCTGTGCTTTAAGACAGAGTGATGCTGAGTAGCCAACATCTCACAGATTGCAGTGCTTTTACACTTCAGTTGAAACAGTTTTCTGCCACTTACAGTTAGAACACTCAAGATACAGTTGAGTGTGGGATGATAATCAGAGAATCAGTGAGCACATAGACACAGCCACGTTTACGCATCCAAACACGTTGCTTAACGTCTGAGGCTGCTACAGAGGCCATGATTAAGATGTGTTTACAGTTAGAATGAATGTTGAGACAGAGTAACGATGGATGAACAACAGGATGGAGCAAAAGCCTGATTGATTGTAACACACAGTCACACCTCACTTAGCTCCGTACACTACCAGTCAAAAGTCTGGACACACCTATGTATAGGGTTTTTGCACATTGTCACTATTTTTCACATTTTAGAATAACAGTGAAGACCTAAGGATGGGCGATATGGCAAAAATATAACGATAATTGAAGACATTTTAACAATACTTGATATGTAGCATGATATGTAGCTTTTTTCTAAATCTGATAAGATGGCATATACAAATAAGCCAATAACATGTTTAAACAATGCAACAAAAACTATGTATACGTTCGCTTTTTCACTTAATCCAATTCCCAACCCAATTATTCTCTCTTTGTAAAGGAACATGGAGTGGATCATTGTCCTTTAGGTGCTGTCAATATCCATGATTTGCTCAGAAATGCATATTGTGATGTAATTTATCACAATAATGATAAAATATCATCATAATGCCCAGCCCTATGAAGATTTCAGATATAAGAAATAACAAGAGGGGTCATACAGTGATCAAAAACAGTGTAATATAATCTTACAGTTTGGATTTGTTTAGAAATTAGCCTTCTGTGGCCTTGAGGCAGCTTTACAGACCTTTGGCATTCTCTCAAGCAGCTTCACAAGAAGCCAACTGAGATGCTTTTCCAACAGGACTGCAGAAGATACACATATACTGAGGCCGAAAACCACTTGTCAGAGTTTAAACATATACAGTTCTGTGCAAACGTCAGAGAGAACCATTCACTTATGACTTAAAACAGATATGAAGTACAGTTTATTCGAAACACATACTCAAAAGAAAACTGCACAGAAGCCTCAACATGTAACTATACTATCAGTTTTTTAGGATTTAGTGTGTCCACGCTTTGCCTTTTTTACAGCTTCCGTTCTTTCCAGGAGACTTAGTTTTTCAAAGAAATCTGCAGGGATACATTTCCAGACCTCCCACGTTCAGCCCTAATAGTTTTCTGCTTCTCACAATCCAAGTTTGTCTTAGAAACCAATTCACTTGCATTTGTGTTTAGATAAACATTCACACACATATATACACACTATAGGGATTTTCCATTTATCTACACCTGTTTTTTAAAACCAGACCCTAACTTTCACCTCAGAAACCAATGAAACCATTTCAGCTTTTCGGTTTCAGTTCTAGGCTGCGTTTTGCATTTTCCTTCCATGCAGACCAGAAAAATGTCTGTGCAACAAATACTGATAAATTTTGCATCTACACACTTAAACCTTATGGTTCTTGAAGGGTTCTTTAGTAATGAAAATGGTTCTATATAGAACCATGAACATTCAAAGAACCCTTTGCATGATTAAAGGGTTCTTTGCATTGTGAAAGTGTTCTTCAGATTGATGGAGAATGTGCTGTAGATGGTTCTATACAGTACCTTTTTGAAAAGTATTCTATATAGCGCCAAAAAGGGTTCTTCCATTGTTATGATGCCATGCTTTTTACAATAGAAGAACCCTTTTTGGTGCTATACAGCCATTCATGGTTTAAATCAGCATAACTGGCCTCAATGCTGGAGTCAGTAATCAGGAGAGTCAGGAAATTTCCCCGTGGGCCAGTAACTTTTTGGACCAGTTACTATGAGCTAAAGTACAAAGTCATGCATGAAAGCCCAAGAACACTCAACCAAACCATAAACGTTACATCCAAGTGTATCTGGAGTAATTTAGGGGTTAAACAAGCGGCCCCCACCTCAAGTACCACAGGCCTGGTTTGCTAACTGTAACTGAGTCTCGAGTAGTGGATAGAGATTAGATGAAGCTGTTCGCTTCTTATTCTCGTTTCCCGTTCCGCCCTAAATGATGTAGAAGTTATATTCAGACGGCTGTACGGGTGCTACAATGTAACTTCTACACTATTTACAGTGGAACAGAAATTCAATCAAGAAACTAACATCAGCTCTGGGAGATTAGCATATAAAATTCAGCACATTGTGAATTTGGTGCTCGCTAATGCAACAGGAAGCTCTGCAGAGGTCAGTGCTGTTTTTTCCATTACATCATATCTAGTTCACTAATTAAAGCCATTTTCCTTAAGTATATTACTACACATTTGGCTCCTATTTCGCTGTGTGAACCTGTAGAGCTGTAATTAACATGATTTGTTGCCAAAGCTTTGAGGATTTGTTTCTGTTAGCACAATAGCATTCGTGCGCTAATCTTAGCTTGGCTTACACTGCACAGGCTTCATGACCTACAACTTTGGCAAGGGCTAAAAATAAAAATAAGAGCCAGGACTACAAAAGTGATTGTATGTCAGTCCTTTTTCATTGCATATTTAAAAACTCATCCATGAAGCAGGACTGTTAGCTGTGCCAGTTGCATAGGCTCTGGTTATTTCAATGGTTATGCGAGCCTGGGGAGACAGAATGTAACTGCTGGACCACTTAAGGAGGAAATGGAAAAATTCAAACAAGAAGCTGGAGGAAAAGGAAGCTGCTTTCAGCTTCATCAAGAGTCGAGAGATATGAAAAGGGATGAGGTGTCTGCTTCTGCTTCTGCTTGACAGGTGGGTAATATTAATGTTAACTTAGGCCAAATCCTATTCTTCTTTTTACCGCTACCCCTTGTTTTCGAGTGTCACCCTAAGCCCTTGGAACTGAGTTACAATGGATAGTGGTTAAAATCTTGCCCTACGAAATGGGACAACCCTCAAATAAACAAACAAAAAAAAACATTACTTCATTAACAATGCTACTAGTGGTGCTCTGTAGGCAACCTGGCCCGTCTTCAGTGACAGCAGAGAAGGGAAAAGTTCAGCTCCTCACTGCTGGGCTTTAGTTACATTTAGGGCATCATATGCTTTCAAAGAGGGGCTATAAGGCAATTGTTCATTATCGCCCACAGCTAATTCATTGGTGATACGAAGCTGAAGTCAGATATTCACCAGCTTCTTGTTCGAATTTTACCGTTCCACCTTAAATGGGGCAGCAGTTACATTCAGGCGTCAATATTGCTGGACTATTTAAGGTGGAACGGGAAAATTAGCTAGCTAGCTACCGAAACATTAGCATACTATTAGCGATTTGTGTGCTTGTTATGAAGAAAATGACCATAATACATTGGAATGACATTAAACTAAGATAAAACAATGGTTATCGTAATTTTTTAACAGAGAAAATTCGCACATTTGTGGGTTTCTTTTGTCTCTCGCTCAGCCATCTTGCCAGTTTTTCTTTTTTTCTCATAACACTCAGTTTGGAGTGCGTCTCTGAAAAACCTTCGTTTGGGGGGCCATGTAGCCCAAACACTTTGCCCTACCCCTCTATCTCAACAAAAATTGGGACACCCTAACCCTAGATGTGAACGCGCAAAACAGAGGGCTAAGGGCTCAGTGGCAAGGGTAACAACCTAATGTTACCTACATTTCTTGCTGTGTCATTGTTCGCTCTAACGTTATAACATGATATTTGTCCATACAAAGAGTTTTATGGCCAGTTTTAAGGACCTAAGAAAGTGTTGTTTGCCTTGGCAGTGTGCATCCATGAATTTGGATGGGCTTTTGCTGTTAAATTAAAATATAACAGTTGTTCTCCAGAATTGCTTACTGCACCTTTAAATGTGGCATCCAACTTTTTTTCCAGGATGTAACATGTGAATAATCCCCATTATATCCCAACTCATGGTTTGAGAGAAATAATCAGTAACATGTAACAAACACTGACAACCACACACACACACACACACACACACACACACACACACTCTCACCGATGTACTGAGGAGTTCCACACAGGCTCCTGTATTCCTCTGCTGGGGTGAGACGCTGGGCCAGTCCAAAATCAATTATCTTAATCTCTGGGTGCTCGGCCTTTTTATCTGACAGCATGATGTTCTCTGGCTGTTTAAAGAAAAGAGAGATTTGCAGCATAATCTCATTTCCTCATCATGAAAGCCAGATGTGCACGAATAACATTCCAAGTCAAAGGTCAAATCTTAATGCTGTGTATTATACTAACGCTTAAAAACAGGATCAGCTGAAAAATGTAGCTGTAAAAGCATTTAATGCGATAAGCCAGGAGCGTGTTTTATCTTTTACATTGTCCAGTGAATCAGCATTGCGTTTATCCTGGTGTAAATCAGGATGTAACAGTAAAGCAACCTGCAACTTGTTTACAGTCCTCAACGTTCACTACAGTGAAAAGAACAAGCGGGATGTTCTTTTTCTTGTTGTCACATCTAAAGCCTTTAAATTACAGCACCAGTCAAAAGTTTGGGCGCACCGACTCAGAAGTGGTTTCCTCAATGTTTTGTATTTTACACACAGTAATACTGAAAAACTGTGCCATATGAGGATCTTTGTACCAAGTTCAAAACACTTTTTAGACTTTTGACTAACTTGGATGTTTGACTAAAATCCTTTTACTTTGAGTGACCCTACACTCTTAAAATAATGGTTCTTCAAGGGTTCTTTAGTAAAGAAAATGGTTCTATATAGAACTATGAACGCTCAAAGAATCCTCTGCATGAATTAAGGAATTCTGTGCATTGTGAAAACGTTATTCAGATTGATGAAGAATGTGCTGTATATGGTTCTATGTAGACCCTTTTTCAAAAGGGTTCTTTATAGCACCAAAAAGGGTTGTTCTAGTGTTTCGAAGTCAAGCTTGTAACAATAAAAGAATGGTGCTATATAGAACAAAAATAATACATTATTTGGTGCTATACAGAACAATAATCACACTATTTCATCTTTACCAAATGTTTCAACAGTAATAATTTTAGCTGATTTTAAGCAGAAGCTAAAAACGCTACCCAGTGCGTAATAAGCAAACGCAGCTTTGTACAGACAGCAGAGGGCGCAAGATGCCATTTTCATAAAACATCAAAGTCAACATCCTTTTTATAAAAAACAAAAAAATACGATGATTGCATGAATGAATACATACTTAACATTAAACAATGTTAGATTTAACATTCTGGAGGCACAAGTTTACTACATTTATAACAGTTTAGTCAATGTGTTTTGCTTGCACAACCTTAAGTTCATTACTGGCTAGCTAACTGATACTAGGCTAGGTTCTTCTAGCGTGCAATCCATCAATAGCCCAACACAGTGGGCAGCAACCCACATGTTAAGAAGAGTAACTTTGTCCATTCAACAAAAACCTAACTACCTTAGGAGCCTCAACATTTTATGTCCATTTTAGCATCTTGGCTGTAAATATGTCTCATATGTGCTGATGTAATAGTTTGGGCTAAAAATATAATAAAAACGAAAACGCAGACTTACTTTGCTCTGCTTTGAGCTTTAGCTCAGCTATAGCCGCTTTTCTCGCACCTCTGGAAGGGAACGTGTCTTCAAAAGTAATACTGTTTCTTGTAAAATGTCTTTCAATGATCGGCTTTTTACGAGGCTGAAGTCGCTTCTCATTCGCCAGCTTCTTGTTCGAATTTTCCAGTTCCACCTTAAATGGTGCCTGAGGCGCCAGAATGTAACTGCTGCGCCATTTAAGGTGGAACGGGAAAATTCGAATGAGAAGCTGGCGAACGAGAAGCTGACTTCAGAGTTTCTCCTTACAGATTAAACGTATCAGGAAACCAACTGTAGTGCTTATAAATGCAATTAAGTCCATTCGTCTCTAAATTATCAGTGTTCTTTCTCTTTGCCTTTTCGTTAGCTGCTAGCTAGGCGAGCTAGTTGTTGTTGCTATGGTGACTAGGAGTTTGCGCGCCAACCTTCAGGGTTAAAGGGTGAATTAGCAGTTATAGGTGACATTAACTCCAGCGTTAAAGGCCATTTATTGTTAAAACTGTGTTAAAATGATCAGAAGAGCTTCATTTTACTGCAAAGGAGGATTATTTTATTTTTACCTAAAACCTAATTCTGCTGTGGAGCTGCAACAGGGCAGTAAAAGAGCTGCATATTGCCGACCCCTGGTCTAACAGCTAATTGTGATCCTGTATCTCTATCTGTGGTGGTTTGCCCTAATTCATTTTAGCCACTAGCCACAAACGTCTCAGTTTCACAGCTCTGTGTTTCTTCTGCCACAGAGATCTCTGATGATAATCCAAGGCAAATATAAACTAGATTCATGTGGTGACACTGTTAAGAGTACAAACAGCTTTCAACTAAAATGTCCAACTATAAGGCTGTATGCTTATAGCTTTTCAGGTAACAGCAGTTCCCAAAAGAAACTTTCTTAAGATCACATTTCCTGACATTACTGGGTAAAAAGTTGAACCTAATGCTTTTACTGCAATTTTTGGAGCTATTCTTTCATTGCTGTCTCTCTATATACAACTAAAAAGACTGATTAACTGATTCTGAGAATTCCCACTCAGACTTGTTGTATTAGGGATATTCTTTTCTTTATTTTTTGAGCTTCAAAAAAATTAGAAAGTCTATAAAAGTCTCATCTCATAAATTCTCTACAATCTGGGGATCATTTTTTTAGTATGTTAATAAAAAAACACATTCTGACCTGACTTTGTCCAGTTGAGACGATACTTCCTAGGAAATTGGTGGGGCATTATTACACTGCACCCATTCCATTAACTAATAACCAATGTGATCTTTTGCTGTATGTGTACATATACACTATGTGGACAAAAGTATTGGGACACACAACAGTCCCATTGCCACATGTGCAAAAAAAATCAAGCACCTAGTCATGTAGACTGCCTTTACAATCATTTGTGAAAAGGATGGGTCGTTCTAAAGAGCTCACTGAACTCGAGCATGGTACTATAATAGGATGCCACAAGTCAGTTCGCAAAATTTCTTCCCTCCTAGATATCCTACAATCAACTGTGAGTGGCATTACTGAAAAGTGGAAGAAAATGGAAGGAGGAACCACAGCAACTGAGCCACGTAGTCTCAGACCACGTAGGCACACAGTGCATAAAAGCCACCAACGCTCTGCTGACTTAATAACTGCAGAGTTACAAACCTCCTCTGGCCTTAACATCAGCACAAAAACTGAGCACCAGGAGCTTCATGGCATGGGTTTCCATGGCCGAGCAGCTGCATGCAAGCCTTACATCACCAAGCACAATGGCAAGCGTCGGATGGAGTGGTGTAAAGCACCGCCACTGGACTCTGGAGCAGTGGAAACATATTCTGTGGAGTGACGAATCACGCTGCTCTATCTGGGAGTCTGATGGATGAGTCTGGGTTTGGTGAATGCCAGGAGAACATTACTTGCCTGGCTGCACTGTGCCAAATGTGCCAAGTTTGGTAGAGGAGGGACGATGCTATGGGGTTGTTTTTCAGGGGTTGGTCTAGAACTCTTAGTTCCAGTGAATGGAAATCGTAATGTTTCAGCAGACCAAGACATTTTGGACAATTGTATGCTTCCAAGTTTGTGGGAACAGTTTGGGGAAGACCCTTTTCTGTTCCAGCATGACTGAGCCCCAAACAAAGCAAGGTCCATAAAGGCCTGGCTGGGTGAGTTTGGTCTGGAAGAACTTTACTGGCCCTCACAGAGCCCTGACCTCAACCCCTTCGAACACCTTTGGGATGAACTAGAACAGAGATTGTGAGCCAGACCCTCTCGTCCAACATCAGTGTCTGACCTCACAAATGCCAGACACTCTCCAACATCTTGTAGAAAGCTTCCCAGAAGAGTGGAAGCTGTTATAGCTACAAATGGGGACCAACTCCATATTAATGCCTATGGATTTAGAATGGGATGTCATGAAAGCTCCTGTAGGTGTAATATGTGGGTGTCCCAATACTTTTGTCCATATAGTGATTGTGAATGTATGTATATGTTTATTTATTCATAATTTATTACTTATTTTTCCCCTTTGTTTCTCTTTTCTTTTTATAGATTTTTCTGTATTGCGTTATATTTGATATGTCAGTGTCACTGATCTCTGTATCCCAATGAACAAAGCTGGAAAAAAAGATCACATTTTCTTAGAAGAAAAGCATCTTAGATGCCCAATTACTGAACTTTTCCTTATAAACTCTTTTTTAATTTACATTAGCTGACAGCTCGGCCCTTTCCCAACACGTAGCACATGAACAGTGAGAAGCAAAACAGACACAGGAAACATTTTTACTACAGGAAACTTGTTGGCTACGACAAACAGCTTTGTAGCATGCTGACTCAAAAGTAAACTATTGTATATGACTCAGTGTAAAGCCTTTATTTTCAGCTTGGGCTGTAAACATCTTAATTAAAGACAGTATTCTGTGAAACCTCTAGCAGTTCATGCAGCACACTTCATACAAATGTTAGTCACTTTTTTATGAAGCTACACTTCCAAAAGTAGTGTCCAAAAAGTCTTTTGAATGCTCCACGTTCATTCTCTAATCAGTCCACTATAAAGCAAATGCTATAGAGCCCATGTGTCAAACACACAGTCCTATCTGGCCCGCAAAAGTATTTTTTCATTTTAAGTTTCACAATGCGGTGCCCTATAGCCCCCAGCATGCACTGCAGCGTAATGTGCTCCGACTCTCCTACCCCGACAACAGTCTACGGGACAGTGGTTACGCCTCAATTCTAGACAATTCCACACCAGTCATACTACCAAAATGCATTTCAGCTGCAGTTCAACCAGTATAAACACTTAACATTAGCTCAGCAGCTCAGAAAATAAGCTCAAGTCTTAATGAACTTGCAGCAAAGAAAGGATGCCAGGTGACTAGTTCAAGTAAATAGGTAGGTTTAAAAGACTGAGGACCTGGGGAAGTTTAAATTTTGAATATTTTAAATGTCCATGTAATATTTCAAGGTCTTCTACAAGTGTCTGTGTTTTGCTGTTTAAGTTTTTGCTTATTTTGAAGAAAAAATGGCCAGTTCGGGTTCCAGCACAACATTAATTAAAAAGAAATAATTTTTTTTTTTTCTCTGGCCCACAGATTTGATGAGATTTTTTAATATGGCCCTTTTACTGGTTGAGATGACACCCCTGCTACAAAGTGAATAGGGAATGAGTTAACAAGTGAGCCATTCTAAACACAGCTTTTTTGTTTTGGAAGAATATGTACGACCATTATTTTCTGAACAAAAGCTTCTATTTAAACAATTCAACATGATAAATCTAAATATTTCAACTTCATTTAAAAAAAAATCAAAAAGATCTTAAAAGGCATGGAAAAAATAAAATAAAAGAAAGTATTATTTTCACAAGTGTAAATTTAGGGGTTAAGGTTTGGGACAGACGCCTCCCAACATAAATGATTATTTTGTATATATGTAGCTTTTTAGTGTCCTGGGTTTAAGTATATCATAACATAATCCTTGCAAATATCTAAGGTTTGAATACGTTTTTAAATACTTTTTTAACAGTCAAGCACGTCATTACACATCAATGTTTAATGCAGAAACCTCATAATTCACTTTGTAAGTAGCATTTGTTTATAGGCTAAGATAATGGTAAATTGTGCTAGCTCCCTAATGTGATTTTCAGTGTTATGTTTGCACCAAGCTAACAGTGGTGTACACTTCATATCAGCTCTCTAGCTTAAACTCAGACATTTGAAGCTCAAAGATATTCAAGTAACATAAAATATTCATAGACTGTCTTATTTGAGGCTATTAGCCTGTTAGCTATTTGCCCAATTTACCCTTGTGAGGACAGAATATTGTCCAATTAGCCCAAAGAGAGGCTGTAAACTTCACTAAAGAGTCAAAACAGAAATTTAGTCTTAGCAATATGTGACATTACATTGCTGATTTAGACCTTCCTGTCTGTCAGAGATGTCCATGTGTCTAATAATGGTGTAAGTATAAAGGCTGGATGAGTCAGGATTCCCATGAGGGGGAATAATGAGACAAATGCATGTCCAAACTTTTGACTGTTGCTGTACCTCAGCAAAGATCAGTTCTGCAACTTACTGTGCTCGCTCTAAACTGTTAACGTTGATAAACTGAAGACTTTATTGTGTTAACCAGATGGAGACTGTTGATGATTTGAGCCTTTGCACCCACCTTCAGGTCAAAGTGGGCGATCTGTTTGCTGTGCATAAAAGCAACCCCCTTCAGAATCTGCTTCAGGAACTCGATCGCGTCGTTCTCCATCAGGTTCTCCTTCTCTGCGATGAAGTCAAAGAGCTCCCCACCACGTATACTAAAAGAGTGGACAGAAACAGAATGGAGAGATCACTTTTCAAACCTTATGTCCTCAAAAATGCTTTCAGGAAGAACAAAAAAAACATTTTGCATGATAGTCCTTCGTGGAAAAAACATTTAACAAGCAAACATAGCCACGTGAACTGCTCTCTGAATGTGTTACTCAGGAACTATCACAGTGAATCCAACAATAAAGGCAGCATGGAGCCTCTTTTATACAGTGATAGGGAACATGGAAGCACACAGAAAGCTGCAGTTCCACATGCTGATCCATTTTCTACGACTGCAGTGCACAAAGCCACTAGGGGCGGATTTTCATAAGTTAAAGGGGATACACACAAAGACTGCTAATGTATGAGAAGCAAAGTGAGACACAGCTCCTGTACAGCTGTACAGCTCCTTTCATACACAGCGGCAATTCAAAGTGCCTCACACAAAAAAGCATTAAATAACAAAGCTTATGATATCCTGAGATCTGGCACCTCAGAAAGGCATTTGCAAAAACATAGTTACAGAAAAATAAAATCAAAGTCAATTGCAGAGAGAGTTAAACGAAAAGATTCAATATTTTGGCAAATGTACAGGTTTTTAAGGGGAATTGCAAAATAAATGTGTTTAGAATTTAATTAAGATGAGAACAAAGTCATTTACAGTGGTTTAGTGGGAACTGCTCCTTTCTAGAGAAACTCACTTAGTCAGAATTCTTCACAGTGGTGGTGATAGGAACCAGACGTCCAGAGCAAAAAATTCCACTGAAACCATCTCAAAGAATTCACTATGTGAAGTTATACTGCATGATGCCTCAGACGTTGTTTTACAACAGTTTTAGACAACATTTTTTTGCCTAGACCATATTATTTAAAACATATGCATGGTGGCGAGATATATGCAGGGTGTTATAAGGCAAAATAGTTCCCAACATAACTTATTTCTTCAGATTTGTCACTATTTTACCAACATTATAAGTAAAAACCCAGATGATACAGGTTTAGTGGTTGTAAATAAAACTGTAAAAAATTAAAATGTAGACATTGTGACTCCTGGTTCTTATCGCCACCACTGTAAAGAAATCTGCTTTGGTAAATTTCTCTGCAATGAACCATTTCACATCAAACCAGTCTAAGTAACTTTGTTTACATCTCAGCAACTGAACTAGGCAGAAATAAAAAAAAAAATTGGTGAGATTCCCCTTTAAAGGCGAATCTGTTTTGAAACCTTTAACCCTTTAAGCCCTGAGGGACTTATATGAAAAGTCATCCAAAATGATCAAAATCCTCTGGACACTCGACAGTCCCATGTCTCCTTTTCTTCAGTCTTTGATATTCTTTTGATGGGAATATCATATGGGGGCAAAACAACAGGCTCAATCTATCTCACTGTCTTCAAACCCACCGTCCCCCCCGAGATACATTTTGAAGCCAAGAAGTCCATAAATCCACTAGGATACCATAGATGGTTTAGATTTAGATTGTCAGCAACAGCTATAAACAGTCCTTCTTATAAATAAGGTCATAGAAACATGCTACAAACAAAGCCAAACAATCTCCAGGAGCACTTGCACTTGCAGACTAGGAGCTGCCTCAGGACGCTCACTTTAAAGGAGTCATATCAGCACACCATGTCAAACGTTTTTCGGAAAGTGATACATCAAGTACACACGCACATACGCATACACAGTCACAGATAAATCCTTCGTCTTTAAATAGTCAGCCCCATTGGTCCCTTGGTATCGGCTCCATTGTGTGCAAAAGGTTCTCCAGTGGAAAATTCAGGCCTACATGCTTCCTATCATGTTCATTAGCAACACCAGCAGAGTACACAACTCGTCCCATGCTGCTACCTGATCCCTTCTTTATCCTGTCCCGACACTAATCTACTGTAATAGTCTGATTGAAAGAGTAGCTGTCTATGTGACGGGATGCAGACGCTAAAAATATAAATGCCTGCATGTGGGATTCTTTAAATTCAAGCCATTTAATTCCACTCAGCTAGATCACAGGTGTTGCTTATCAGTAGCAGCCATTCAAAAGTTTGGAATCATTGTTTTCAATTAAATAAAACAGAGGTGGTACCGATCCGATACCAAGTATCAGTATCAGCTGACATCTTCAGAAAATGCTAGACAGGATGTCAGAGGGAAAACTCTGTTGTTAGCTGTACATTTTGTCTGTTTGACAAGTTTAAGCATGATGGCCTACTGTTAGATGCTCTTCTTAAAGGGTCCATATCATGAAAAACCAAACGTTTCTTCCTTTTTTAAAGCAAAAGAGATTAATGTGCTATGTAAGTGTTAAAATTCCCAGTCCACACAGTCTGCACATGGAAATTAAGTTGCAAAAACAGCCTGTTTTGAATTTACTTGTTTGTACTCGTGTCACAAAAAACAACACATTTCCGCAAATCCACCTAATCAGCCTACAACAGTTCAGCCCAGTCCACTCACGCTGAAGTTTTACGAGTGTTTTAACCTGGCCTGCTTTTTGAATGAGGCACAATACAGAGCAGCCAATCACAGCAGAGATCATATTTACATTTAAAAATATCGGTCCTAAAGGCACAGCGACAAAAACAGCCTGTTTAAGTCTAAGGGATACAGAGAGGCTGGAAAATGGTCAGGTAAAAAATTAATTATGACTGTTTTTGGTGCAAGAAGCCATATAAATGAAATAAGTGGACCCTTAGGGGAGACAAGACAAATGTAGAATATAAGCCTTTTAGGTGAAGTGTTTCTATTAAACATAGCTCATTTCAAAGCTAAAAGAAAAAAAAAATCAAATATTGGTCAATACTCAAGGTTTCAATATTGGTATTGGAAAAGAAAATGTGGCATCGTGCCATCTCTAATACGTGTTCGCGCAGAGTTGGACAAACTTTACAGAATGCTACAAATTACATTTCACCTAATGAGAAACTTTAGCGGACTTTATTATGTTATCAAGAAAACGACACTCAATCTATACTAACAGTTACAAAGTATGTACAAATACAATGTAAATATCTTTTCATTAGGCTGAATGCAGTGTTTACTGTTTCCCATTAAAATTCTTTGTCATTCATCAGCACAAGAGAACTGACGATTGAAATAATAATAAAAATGTGAAAATTTAATAAACAGAATATATTGAAAAATATGAAAGTACAAAAACGAAAAAAGTAAATGTACATTTAAAAAAAGTAAAAGTTATTATAATAGTAAAAGGGATGTTTGCCAACATTCTGTAAAGCTTGTCCAACCTGGCAGCAGTTGCTATAAAGAACACTAAATGCATGCGTATAATAATTCCAACACGTGTGAATAAAATGATTCTAATATGATGGTGAGCATCTACAATTCTGTAGCTTATTTCAAATAATTTGTACAAAGCTGTAAAAAAACATTTTAGATTGAAGAACTGAGCTGTAGATGCTGTAGATGAGATGCTGCAGACCATCAAGAATGAAATAAAATCCAGAACTTCAGAATTTCAAAAGTGGTGTTCTGGTCCCAAGGCAAAAAAGTAAAAAAAAAAATGTAAATAATAAATATATATAAAAAAAATTATTTATGATTTTAGAACTTCTTGCTAATCCTAAAAGGCTTGAAATATTGACAACATTACTTTTTAATGTTTAGCTTATATTAATTAATGTATCATTGTATATAACTTACATAAAGTATATATAAAACAAATGTTTGCATGTTTTAGGAATACAGAAATTATTAACATGACAGGTAATTCCAGACTTTTGAATAGTCTGTTTTGTGTTCTTTCCACCCCTCTCTCTCTCTCTCTCTCTCTCTCTCTCACTTTCTTGCTCACACACTCACAGCTCCACGACGAGGACCACCTCGGCCCTGCTCTCGAACACGTCTTTGAGGGCCATAATGTTGTTGTGCTGCAGGGCCTGCAGGATCTCCACTTCACGCTCCACTGTCTTCCTCTCCAGACCCAGCCTGCTGCTCACGCTCCGCCGGAGCTTCACAAACTTTCCTGCCCAGCACACGCCGCTGGCCCGCTCTCGCAGCTCCCGCACCTGACCAAAGTGACCACTGACACCAACATACAGAGAGGTTACACCAGAGAGAAGATCCATGAACTTCCAAATACTAAAGGAGAACCATTTCTGAAACCACTTCTCTTACATCTACTGTTCTCCTCACATCGTCCTTCATTAAATTAATATTCCAGCTAATCTTTATATATATCAAGATGGTTTGAAAAACAAACAAACAACCAAAAAAAATCTCCATTTTTTGTTATATTGATTTTTCTACATAATTTGAACACAACAGCTGTACTTTATACAGGGTGATTCAAAAAGATTCATCCGATTTCAGAGCGCCATATTTTTAAAAACCGCCAGGCGCCTAGGAACCAATCACATACCAATTCAAAGAGGGGGTCATAGAGTTTCTGACTGTCAGTGGAAGATGGCTCCCTTCAGTCTGCGAGGAGATGGAGACCCCTGAGCAGAAAGTGTTTTGCGTTCTCCACTTCAATAAGAGTGAATCTGTCATAACTGTGCAGCGTGATTTTCGTGGGCAGTGAACATCCAACAGCTCAGAGCGTTCGCCATTGGTTCCACAACACTGGATGATCTCCGAAATCGCATTGAAAGAGCTGTAAGTGCAGTGACACCCGACATGCTCAATCGAGTATGGGATGAATCTGACTATGGTGTTGATGTTGTCCGTACAGCTAGACGAGGATCATACTGAGCACTTGTAAAATTACAAAATAAACCTTATGCTTACTTAAACCATTTACAGTTTACTGCATTGTTCTGATCTTTTGAAATCAGATGAATCTTTTTGAATCACCCTGTATTCTGTGAACACTTCATGGTGAATGGACCAATAGCAAAGCTCTAAAATTACCTGGTATAAGATCTTTCAATTAACGTACACTAAAAGTTAAGAAAGTCTTTGCAAAGTTACTATTTTCAAGATATTTTTTTGGACAGCACCAACATTAGAAAGTTCTTCCCTCAGGAAAACTACTCCCATGTCTAAAGTTAATACAGCTTAATTAAAAAAAAATACTGAAGACTGTATGTCATCTGCTGACAGCCAGCGACTGCCCAATGGATTCTATTACAGTCACTGAGTTTTCAGTTCCTTTGTAAGAACAAGAAAGGTATCAAAATTATTGTTTGTGGTAACTGATAGTATGATACAGATATGTCAGACAGATGCCAGACACTGAAGTGCTCCTTTTATCATATATATATATATATATATATATATATATATATATATATATGATAAAATATACATTTTCTGGTCACAGTTCTTGTCGCCTGCTTTGGCACTATTGCTCCCAGACAGCTTGGATGATCTTTAACTTTGAGATGTGAAAACCTGGACATCTGAACAGCACATTGACGGGCAACATCATCTTGTTTCTCTTCCCTTCTAGGAAACTTTAAATCATTAAAGTTATTGGTTTCTGAACATTCATATGTTCCACCCACCTGCCCAGTATCTCTCCTATCTCGTAAAAGTCCTCCACGTTCTGCAGGTTGAACTGAGCCATGGCACTGCTAACCTTTTGTCCACTCTACGGTCCAAGCAGCGCTAGTCCTGCATCCTGTACGCACAGAGAGAAAGCCAGTCATGTTAAGAGGTGGTAGGGAGTGAAACAATGGCTCCAGGGGTTTGTGTGCCAGACTGTTGGGAGTGGATTGGAATGGCTGACTTCATTTCTTTAACTGGAATTAGATTGAGACTTCTGGCATTCAGCAACACTCTGATTGGTTAGAGGTAAGTGTTTTTGGTGATGCGTTTTCATGTCCAAAACATACCGTGTTGAGTTCACTACGGCAAATGTATATTGTATTGTATGTTTTAACCCTCCTTCAAATTTTTTCCTTGGGGTCAATTTGACCCCACCGATTTAAATCTCTGGGAAGTATCAAAGTTCTGGTGGGAATTATGCCCCCCACCCCCACATGACGTGAACTATCAGTGGTTCTCACAGTACCACAGTATGGTATGTTAGGTTAGGGCCATGACGCAGAAGGATTTTTTTTGAAGAATATAAAATGTTATGTTATAGTGATCTCAATATCATCCAAAACAAGCAAAACAATGTGTGTAAATATTGACATTTATGTTTTATACAGCTAAAACAGTCTGAGACCAAACCGACCTCAAAGTACATCGACGCATACAAGATGTGTACAGGACATTATAAACATACCATCATGTTAATTTTATGTTTACCCAGTCGCCCCCATTACATTAAGGAAAGTCGTTACATATGAAGCAAAAAAATTACGTCATTTATTTATTCAGAGACGTTAAACACTACATAGGGTCAAAATGACCCCAAAGATAACGAGATGGTTAAATAGCTTGGTGAAAAAGCTAAAATACCCCAAATGCACATTGCAAACTTAATGCCTAAAACATCACACCTCAACAACTTTGCTGAGTTAGCAAAGTGACATATTTCCAAGAGGAAACATAGTATCGGGGAGGCTCTTCAAGCTAGCTGACCGCTTTTCCCTCAATGATTGGTGGGATTGTGGAAGGGGGAGGAGAAACATCATATAATTGGCTAATGTTATTGGTCCCCGCCTGCTGCTGCAAAACGAGAACACATTTTATAGGCAGGCAATTCACCACATTTCAATTTAAGATTACTGTAAAAACAAGAATCTTATCTTTTACATGATATCCCAGATAACAAGCACCTATCAGTCCACTGGCTTGATAAGATCAGCGTCCTGCTGACTGTATGTCACTGCTGGTCCACCCTGAGACCACCTAGATTATTGTCCTGCATACAAGATCTAACTAGTCCTTAATCTCCTCAAAATGATATAAATGCACAGTCTTTTAATTTGGAAAATAAAGTAAGATAAATGTTACAAACAACTGAGAGAGAAAAAATGAAGGCCTAGGCCTGATACGATTGTGTTGAAAATGTTGATGCCGACACTGAGCTAGATTGGTTACAGCTGTATAACTGGCATTATTTATGATGTTACTGTCAAAATTATTTACTAAGCTAATTAACAGAGAAGTCAATATCAATAAGTAAACTGCACTGTGAGTGGAAACCAGCGCTGAAAGTGGCATTTTGTCTAACACTCTGCTTAATCACCAGTGGGCCGCCCAGAAAACGCTCAGCAAAAAGCCAGGGGGATGCCAGCTTTGCCACCCGTGGGCACTGTCCTCTTGCTCTCTGGGTATGATAAAGATAAATTATGCTTCAAGGGGAATTTCCATCATTTTTTCTAAATTCCTACAAAATTAAATGATTAAGATGTGACCAACGTCATTCAGAGTGGTTTGGTGTGAAATGCTCCGCTTTAGAGAAACGTACTGAGCCAGAATTGTTCTTGGTGGTGATAGGAAACAGATGTCCACCTCTAAAAGCTCCCTCTCAGAAAGTTATTACATGAAATAATTACAAAAATGCTGCCTGATGTCAGAGACGATAGTTTTGAGATAACAGTTTGGCCCAAAATGTGTTTTTATAAACTAATTAATGTCATAGAGGCTCATGTAAGGTAAAATAACCCCTGGTTCCTATCAACACCATGGTAAAGAAATCTGTTTCTCAACAATGAACCATTTCACATCAAACCACAAAAAGACCAGTTTTGATTTGTGATTGACTTTAAGTAATCTCACCTTATAAGGTACGACATAAAGTATGGCACACTATAAAAAGCTTCCAGATGGCGCTTTTATATATAGCAGTATGCTGGTGTTAGAAACCACATAAACAAGTCTATTTAAAGTCAACATGAATAGGAAATCAGAACACGTTTCTTCCTTAACATGATATTTCCGAGTGAAACAAGCTACTCGGGTGAGAAATAATTGTGAGCAGGACATGATTTTATTCTTTAGGATTTGACTGGATCGCTAAAAGCAGGCGTTCCACAATGAACAGAGTCAGACTCTGGTGGTCAGCAGAATCTGTTTAGCAGAAAAAGAAAATAATAAATAAAAATAATCAGATTTTGTCAATACATGAAGCACTACAGCATTCTGGTTTGTATTTTTCTAGTTTCTGAAACACAATTCATTAATTGTTGAAAACTTGATTTTATTATTTTCTTTTTACTTTTTAAGACAGGTGAAAAGCTGGTCAGCAGGCTTAGCCTCACAGTCTCTCAGCCTCATAGACTAACAGTCTCGCAGCCTCTCAGCCTCACAGACTAACAGTCTGACAGTCTCTCAGCCTCATAGACTAACAGTCTCTCAGCCTCATAGACTAACAGTCTCACAGCCTTTCAGCCTCTCAGCCTCACAGACTAATAGTCTCACAGTCTCTCAGGCTCACAGACTAACAGTCTCACAGTCTCTCAGCCTTACAGACTAATAGTCTCACAGTCTCACAGCCTCTCAGCCTCACAGACTAACAGTCTCACAGCCTCTCAGCCTCACAGACTAATAGTCTCACAGTCTCATAGCCTCTCAGGCTCACAGACTAACAGTCTCTCAGCCTCACAGACTAATAGTCTCACAGTCTCACAGCCTCTCAGACTAATAGTCTCACAGTCTCATAGCCTCTCAGGCTGTCAGACTAACAGTCTCTCAGCCTCACAGACTAACAGTCTCTCAGCCTCTCAGCCTAACAGACTAATAGTCTCACAGTCTCTCAGCCTAACAGACTAATAGTCTCACAGTCTCTCAGGCTCACAGACTAACAGTCTCACTGCCTCTCCGCCTCACAGATAAACAGTCTCACAGCCTCTCAGGCTCACAGACCCACAGTCTCACAGCCTCACAGACTAACAGTCTCACAGCCTCTCAGCCTCACAGACTAATAGTCTCACAGTCTCACAGCCTCTCAGGCTCACAGACTAACAGTCTCTCAGCCTCACAGACTAATAGTCTCACAGTCTCACAGCCTCTCAGCCTCACAGACTAACAGTCTCTCAGCCTCACGACTAACAGTCTCACAGCCTCTCAGGCTGTCAGACTAACAGTCTCTCAGCCTCTCAGCCTAACAGACTAATAGTCTCACAGTCTCACAGCCTCACAGACTAACAGTCTCACTGCCTCTCAGCCTCACAGATAAACAGTCTCACAGCTCTCAGGCTCACAGACTAATAGTCTCACAGCCTCTCAGCCTCACAGACGAATAGTCTCACAGTGTCACAGCCTCTCAGCCTCACAGGCTAACAGTCTCACAGCCTCACAGACTAACAGTCTCTCAGCCTAACAGACTAATAGTCTCACAGTCTCACAGCCTCTCAGCCTCACAGACTAACAGTCTCACAGCCTCACAGACTAACAGTCTCTCAGCCTAACAGACTAATAGTCTCACAGTCTCACAGCCTCTCAGCCTCACAGACTAACAGCCTCTCAGCCTCACAGACTAATAGTCTCACAGTCTCACAGCCTCTCAGCCTCACAGACTAACAGTCTCTCAGCCTCTCAGCCTCACAGACTAATAGTCTCACAGTCTCACAGCCTCTCAGGCTCACAGACTAACAGTCTCTCAGCCTCTCAGCCTTACAGACTAATGGTCTCACAGTCTCACAGCCTCTCAGCCTCACAGACTAACAGTCTCTGAGCCTCTCAGACTAACAGTCTTACAGCCTCTCAGCTTAACAGACTAATAATCTCACAGTCTAACAGCCTCTCAGGCTCACAGACTAACAGTCTTACAACCTCTCAGGCTCACAGACCCACAGTCTCACAGCCTCTCAGGCTCACAGACTAACAGTCTCTCAGCCTCTCAGCCTCTCAGGCTTACAGTTTCCCAGCCTCATACACTAATGTAACGTAATGTCAACATAAACAATCTAAAATAACTCCAAAAAGAGAAATTAAAATTAAAAGGAGTAAAACGAGGAAAAGAAAGCACGTTGTCCGCCAATTTACATGTTAATGCAGCCGGAAGTGGAGAATGTTTTTGTTCGATGACTGGTGAGGGGGATGGGATGGGAGGAAAAACATGTTAAGATATTATTGGTCAGTATAATTCTTCTTGCAGAAATCACTACACTTCGATCAAAGATTCCAGAGAAACAAGAATTTAGTTTTTTGAATGATACTGCTTGTGCTTAAAGTGAGCATGGACACGAACTAAGATGGTAAAAAGGGTCCATTTTGATTTAAGGTTGACTTTAAGATTACAGGTGCTGTGAAGAAATGAGCAAACTTAAACGTTTTGGCCGATAGAGGACATTCTGGGCTAAGAGGAAAGCTATCTCCCATCTATCGCTTTCATATGTTGGTGTTCTCTGTTGGGCACTAAAAACCTGGAGAGCCTGTTTTTAGTAATTCTTTACAGATGCGAAGCAGCTTCATTATGATCCAGAACAATGGAACAGTAGAGGTATTTGGCACTGAACAGTACAGCCAACATTCTAGCACCCAGGCTAGAACTGCAATAGTAGTTTCTAACTCTTTGCTAACAAACAGCTTACTTTGAGCTAATGATAGAATCTGCTGTTAGCAAAAAACATGGGAAAAAGGAAGAGACTATCATTACTTTCCATTGAGAGGCCCAGGAAATGGACAATTTACAAGATGACCAATCTGTTTTGTCTTGTATTTAAGCTCAGCAATGTACAATCAGCATACGCTGGGAACACACAACATCGGGTACATTCCTGG